TGTCCTGCCTAGATTAGCATTGTAGCTATTTGCAGGACATGAAGTTTTGTAAACATTATATTTCTTTCTTTAAATAAAGAGTGTTCCAACACCACTGTTTATCAAAATCTGGAAGCCTCCAAGGCAGGACATCGGCTCCTTTGAAGATTGACGAAATTTTGGCGATCCGCAAAAAATTGGCAGGGTCGCATTTATTTTATGCTAATTGTTGACAGATTTTTCTCTTCAATGAACAAAAAAAGCGTTTTTGCGACCTGGGCCTTAGGGTCAAATATTCCATTATAAACCAGAGAACACTTCATAAAAGGGTTACGAATTTATTAAAAAGCCTTAAAATCGACGTATTAATCAAATAAACCTGCGATATGAAGCAAGAACCTTTCAGAGTAATAAGACGACTAGCGATGACATAGAGAAATTAGATTCTAGTCACTCTTAAGGGTTAAAAGGTTCAAACCTTTCATTTACATAAATGCGCATGATTAGTCATTTTTTGTGACTGAGGTTAATTTTATTACTGCCCCTCCTGATGTCGCACAATTGTCTACTGTCCACGTTGTTTTTCTAACAAGTTTTCATACATCAGGTAGGTATTTGTTCATGCTGAACAGTTCTCACTCTTATCTTCAGTTCTTCAACTGGAGTCTAATCTACAATTAACAGATCAGTCCATATTAGCCGTTTTAACTTCGAACATATTGCGTGCATCAATGCAGATTCGCCGAACTAACGTAACAGTGAGTAGAGTTACCAGATAAACGAAGGCGTAGGACTAATCGGAGAAGTTAGATATGCATAGAGTTAGAAGACATACCAAGTTCAGATTAAATGACTGATAAAAATGTTAGCTTAAGTTGTTGGAAGAATTTGTTGGTCGAAGAAGTTAGCCGCATTTACTAGTAGTAGCAGAATTCTGATCAACCAACTCAAACTATACAGTAACAGTTATTGATGGTTAAAGAATGATTTTCAGTACACTGCTAAAGAGAAGGGTAAACCAAAGTACGCTCAAGGGAAAAGTTAAACAGGTCTGTGAATTCAGGAACGGAGTGCGGGAGCAAGCAACACTTTGCCAACTATTTTGGCGGCATGATGGCGGTTCCTCGCTGTTTCACCATTCTCAAGTGATCATGAGCGCTTACCAAGGAACTTAATTAGCTTATTCATTTGCGCAAGTCACTCGAAAAGTTATCATTCAGGGCAAAAAACCGGTATGTCGAAAAAACTTTAATAGCTCGGGGCTGAAATTCGATGTGAGCATTCTTGAATAAATGCTAGACAAAACTACTTTCGTTCTTAAGGTTTTATGATGCTTTGTTTATACTCACTGATGCATAGTATGATTTTAAAGAAGCGAGTAGTAAGCAACTAACTTAAATTTTCATTTATTTTGAAACTACCAAGTGGAATCTGAGTCGATATGGACAGTTCACATAAGCGTCACTGTAGATCCGAAAGGTTCAGTTGTTGCAGTTAATGCAACCCCCCTTAAAAAACTTCGTCCTTCAGCTCAACATGATGTTTGTATTCAGTAGAGGCTCAAGGCGAAATCTGTTGAATTACAATTTCCAAGACGTTTTGTTGCACAATTTGCCAACAAAACCAATTAAAAGGAATTGAAAATGCACCTCCGGCAGAATTAGGAGATATTTGGAAATCTTCTGAAACGAGCATCTTGAGTCGTGTTATGTGCAAAGGTGCAAAATAGACGGATCACAAACTTAAGAGCGTTTACTTTTTTTCAATGCTAATTAGAAGAGCGAAGCATAGATCTCAAAAGTCGAAAAGCTTGCCGAAGCGTGAAAAATATTATCACCAGCGATCCATATTTTGAGTACTTTAGAATTCTGTCTCACTATTGGATCCATGAAAAATAACATAACTAAGTCATCCACATAGACCTAACACAAGTAACTTTCAGATCACTATGCGACCAGCTTTTATCATTAAAGTGATTTTCAAATAAGTGTCGAATATAATCCTATTGTGTCTTACTTCGCCCTGTAATTGATCTACAAAACTCGCGCTCCCTTCTTAAAATTCAGATACAAAAGCAAAACCAGTGCAACTTGATTGATCACTCGAGCTTTTCCGCAGCGCTTCGGACGGTTTCCTTTTTTTTTATTATGTGGCAGTGTATACTTGAGTATGCCTAGGCATGACGTTAAGTCGGGCAGGCTAGCTGTGACCGAGAAAACAAAACCTATAAATATTTATTTACACATCTAAAACTATATATCTAATTTGTTTATATTCATTAAAAAATTAGTGTCCATAACTGTTCGCTTTTGTCCATCAAAAAGAGATATAAAAAATGTTTATATTTAAGTAATTAGCTAATAAGACTTTTCATAAAAATATTATAAAACTTGATTAATATTATATGTTTTTATAAGGATTTATTTGTTGAAATGAACTATTATGAAAGTAATTTAAATGATCTGGTAATGTTCAGTGTACTTGATATTACTGCCTTTTGCATGTTAAATAAGGTCTTGTTAGCTTTTGTCTTGCCAAGAAGTAGTATAACATTCTCTCTCGTTTCTGACGAATATCCTCCTAAAAAAGGTCTGTAATGATGTTATATTGCTTGATGGTGTAGCCCTTGTGCTGTTGTTTGAGTTCCCATCTTAAGGGTGCATATTTGGTGGTCTTTTCTTGATTCTTCTGCTTCCTGTTTTCTATCCAGGGGCAACTCATCTCTATTATTACTATCTCAATATTATTATTATTATTATTACTATTATTATTATTATTATTATTATTATTATTATTATTTCAGTTTCTTTATCACTTTGTGGTAGTTTCTTTGTTCTGATTCGCTCTTGCGATTGTTTTCAGGTTTCATTGTTTTTTAAGAAGAGCCACTTGAAGACAAAATCATGGGTCTGACAATTGATAATTTTCTGGAAAAGATCGGTAGTTTTAGCAGATTTCAGTACAAACTCCTGTTTTTTTGTGGTTTTATGGAGCTTTTTGGAGCTGGTCTTCAGATTATGATTCCAACCTTCCTCAGCGCTGAACCTCCATGGCGCTGTAAAGCAAACAGTTCTGCTTGTAATCTGACTGGAATTTTCAAGCCAGGAGACGACAAATACAACTATCGTTGCTCAATTCCACGAGGTGATTGGGAGTTTGACACTACTGAATTTAATTCAGTGGTGAGCGAGGTAAGATTAAAGGTTGAACGGAGCTGGAAGTTGCCTGAAAATATTTCAGCAACTTTCCACCATCTAGAAAACTCAGTAATTCGTTGCAGTTTTGTTCCAACAGAGTCTCCTGTGTCCTTCCTATCTTAGAATCAGGAAATACTTTAACACGTAAGCTAAAGCTTAAATACTATATGAGCTCATGATCCATATTGATCTTAGCTTAGAACTGCGTTTCGTTTTCAGAACTTATTAAGGGGATTAGGCGGTCCCCTTCAGTTTACAATGAAAATTTTCGACTGTTTTTTTTCTTTCAGTGGGACCTAGTCTGTGACGTATCAGCACTGTCCGCACTGACCAAAGCTGTTATGTTCCTGGGCTATTTTATTGGAGTTGTTTTCGGGGGCGTGTTAGGAGATAAATTCGGCCGCAAGCCTGTCATTTATTTCATGTTTTGCCTGAACAACATTGCAGCATTGGCTGCATCTTTCGCACAGGCCTACTGGGTTTATGTCCTCTTCAGAGTTTTGGTTGGTTTTTTTATTGGTGAGTTGATCAAAATTTTTTTTTAAATTTTTTAATTTTGGACGAACGTAAAAGACTCTCTGAATCAATTTGATTTAAGAGAAGCAAATACTCTGTGTAAAACTCTAACATTCATGTTACGCAACAATGAACAATCGAGTAGGATAAGATGATCAGCGCTTTGTTTTTAGAAAGATTATACAAATCAGAGTTTTCAGAAAATGACCTGTTTACCTTGCCACTGTTTGGTTTAAAAAAAGAGTATACTTCGTCCCTGTTCTGAACTAATGTGCTTTAATACGAAAGTTTATGATAAACATCTTCAGGGCAACCGAAAGCGTTCTTCTGAGCTTATCTATGTCCAAGAAGAACCTTGAGTTGCCTTTCGTCAGCCCAATCAATATGGGACGTTCTTTGAAGTCTCATTGCGAAGTGTGGGTTTCGACAACGTCTCTTTATTGGTCACGTCACTGCTCACGGTACGTTCGAAGTCAATGACCGAGCCGAGAATTCAGTGCCACTGTCTGTGTTTCGCCCGCACAGACAGAGACTGGGACTGGGAGAGCATGCATGGGAACTTCTCAATTTTTAAATCAGTTTAAAGTGTGTTTTATTAGCTATGGCTTTTAGAATGACACTATATGATCAATGTAATGATTTCCAACAGGGGTCGGAGGCTTGGGCCTGTATGTACTGTCGGTGGAGTATGTAGGAAAACGCCATCGTCACGTGGTTGGAACCGCCCTGTTTTACTTCTGGGTTCTGTCACTGCTGCTTGTGGCGTTGCTAGCCTACCTGATAAGAGACTGGCGAACGCTTTCAATCGTGGGAGCAGCTCCAGGCCTTTTGCATATTTTCTTCTGGTGGTGAGTGATGCATCATTACCATGAAAAGATGCGATAACTCGCTTTCTTATTTAAATTTCAAATAAGGCAATGATCTTCTCAAGCGAGCTGCAATTTAAGCAATCGCAAAGAAGTCTGAAAATTGATTCGAACCCGTACCTCTCAAATATATCCCAATTTATTCGAGATTGGTGGTAAGGACTTTTATGAAAAGAGCACAAAAGTTAAAGCCGAAATTTATCAAAATGTATGGCTAACGACTATCCTCTGACGAAAAAAGAAAATAAAATACATACTAAGCGAAACAAAAATAAAAGAAACAGAAGAAAAGAAAAACTTATAGGTTAATGTTTCGACCCTAGGTTTCTTCCAGAGTCCCCTCGTTGGCTCCTCGCAAATAATAAACCTAATGAAGCCATGACAGAACTTAATAAGGTGGCCAAATTCAACAGAAAAGAAATGCCCGCTGGAGACCTGGAACAGAAAGAGGATAAACAGAGACAGGGGGATTTCCGGGACCTCTTCAGTTCAGTGACGATGACTAAAAGAACTCTGATATCGTGGTTCGCTTGGTTAGTTTGTATATCACTGTGACATTAGGCCATTTCCGAATTATCTTTGGTCTCTTTTTAAAAACGAGGGCTGTTGCTTAACCACTTGTATGAAAATGAGTTTAATTTGCGTGTGAGTGAAAACTTGTAATCATATGAAAGGATGAGCACAGGGACTCACTTTGAAAAACAGATCAAAGGTAATTCCGAAATGGGCAATTTACAATCACCAACACATGTTGGTCTGCCTTGTTTCTGCACTGGCTTTTGCTTCTCTTTTCTTAGGATGGTAATATCGTTGGTATATTACGCTGTTTCATTCAGTGCTGGAAATTACGGCGGGAATCGTTATCTGGTGTTCTTTTTAATAAGCCTGGTGGAGTTTCCTTCCAACTGGACTTGTATTTTCCTTTGCCACAAGTGAGTAAAGAGATTAAATTAAAAAGGACTCAACCTAAACTTTTTGTGACGAATGGGCTTTGTCGAACACAAACTTCAAGAAGACATACACAGATGAATTGAAATAGACATTTACATCTAATAAAATTAAATTTATAACCTTTCCAAACAGTGGTAGCTGTTTTAGCAAAGACGCCCAGACAAAACTATGCATTAATTTATTCATTCAGTAGGGGAAGGCCTGCGTTTAGAAGTCTATTTAAAAGCAAAAATATTCAAGGGTACTCCCTTAGCATCCGAATTGTGGACGTACCCAAGTGGATTGCACACTGTGGCGAGGGAGATAAAGTGAATTTTGAATAAACTGCTTCACTTTGCCTTGAATTCGTCAATGCTTTGATCCTTAGAAACATTTCTGACTGCATGTTTGCTTCATGCATTCAATCGCAAATCTACGGTTTCGTTTATGCATCTAACTAGGAAATGGGATTTGAACAACTAAATTGACAAGTCTTAGAGGGAACAATAAAGTCTTAAAATGATTTACGTAACCCAACTCCAAATCCGTTCCCAAACATTTCCTGGGTTAGGACTGAAATTTCATCATCAACTCGTTTCTATTACTGAACAGTTCGCATGTCAAACAATAAAAAAAAACTCACTTACTTGGAAATTTACGTTGATTACCAGTCAAGACAATTTAAGAAATGTCAAAACTGAATTATGTCAAACTTGAAAGAAATTGCCTTTTTTTCCAGTTCATGTATAATTGTTATGTGTACGGCGATTGCACACTAATCTGAAAGTTGTCTTAGGATTGGCCGCAAGAAAACCACCGTTCTTGGACTGGTTGTGGCTTTCATTTCCTCTGTGATTGCAGTTTTTTTCCAACGAGATTTGAAAAACACAGGTATGTTAACTTTACTTTAACATTTTGACTCCACTCTGTTACTGAAACTCGGAAAATGTAAGCATAGAGCATATCTGAACTCGGAAAGGAAAACAGAGAGGGCCACGACGACTCCACGCCCTTTTAGTAGCGGAATTTTCATCAAAACATGTTGTAGTCAATCGTGTTTCGGGCGATGTTCAGCAACTAAATTTGACTTTACGCTTGGTGCGCGTCAATTCTGGTTTAGCTGCACAGGGACACGTAGGGTGTGGGATAGAGAAGACGTCTTCGGTGTGCCTACAGTGTCAGGTCTTGAAATAATGATAGTGTTTTATTTCTGCGTAAAATCACATGCACAAGTATCAAGTAAGTATCGATCACAAATGGGTCGTGATTTAGTTCTTAAAACTATCACTTTCAAAATGGTTCTGAGTCTAGAACTTTCCCAGAGAGAATTACTTTTACTAAAGAAAGATAAAATTTCATTTCATCATCATGGCTAATCGCGCTGGTTTAAAGAAAGATTGGAGCATCTCGAGAACGGCTCATTTAAGATTGGAACTTCGTTGATGCAATGTTGAATTTGGTTTGAATGCAATTATACACCTCATTTTTTATATATTTTCAAACTTAAACCTTAGGTTTCATGGTGGCAAATATCATAATGGCACAAGTGGTCGCCAAGTTTTTCATTAACATGTCCTTCAGCTCAATCTACGTTTACTCAAGCGAACTCTTTCCGACTGTTATCAGGTATCTCTCCATCTAGTGATTCTTTAATGGAGTTTTAGAGCACTCAGTCCGTTCCCTTTTCCCTCACTTTAATTGACGAGCTAGGACGTCTTCACAAGTACAATTCTGTATGCCGCTGGAAAACTGATAAGGCAAATTCAAATGACTAACGTCTTCATAGACATATTGATCGACTGACTGATTGACTGACCTAGGCTAGCTAGCTGGCCGTATAGCTAACAGGCAGACTTACTGACTGACTAACAGGCTGGCTGGCTTGGGCTACTAATTAACAGACCGGATGATACATTATTACCGAATCCTAACTACTAACTACGACTTCCTACTTCTTCAATCGGAAAGTTCACTTCTCTCACATAGAATCCATCATAACGTAACTGTATCATGTTTCAGGAGTGTAGGAGTAGGGACCTCATCTGCCGCAGCTCGCATTGGGTCTATGTCGGCACCATACATCAATTGGTTGGTATGTATTTCGTTCAGAGTCTATTCTCCCGTTCTCTCTGTTGATGAATCTAATCCACTAGAAATAAACTTTAAAAAAAAAGTTTTAAAAAATAAACACTGAATTATAATTCGCTTAGTATCCGATGGTCGAAGTACGAAGTAAATCATTGGGAGCCCAGATGCGAGCCGCTCACAAGCAAAGTCTGATCTCGACTGAAAAAGGGATGCCTCTTTGCATGTAGCCTCCACTTGAGGGATGACTCAAAGTCTTGTTCCCCAAGGATGTGCCCCGTGTGCGTATTCCACTGTAACCTAAGTCGGAAATATAATCAGAACGTAATCTACTTGCTTACATCGAGTGCCGGTTGACATATTTGTGCTTGTCCTTCTTTGCCAACAGATAAGTGTTCATATCATCTTGCCGTACACCATTGTGGCGGTGCTTACTTTCATCTGCACTGTTCTGTGCTTCTTACTGCCAGAAACAAAAGACTCTCCAACTCTTGAGAATATGGATTCCGTTAACAGCACCTCTGCTGAGGAACCAACCGACGAAAAGCTTCCCTTTGAACCATGCAAGGAGAAGGAAGACATGGGAGAATTGCTTCTCAGTCAGAGCTACCCAGCTTAAATGATTTATAAATGACTTGATCAATACTTAAACAATTTAGGTGTCTCTAAGCTTGGGTTGGGGGAAAAGATATTCAGTGCAAAAACGTGATTCATCTTCCAAACCAAATTTGCAAATGAAACACAATACGTTATCCTTACTTTATCTCTGTTTAAAAATATATTTAACCCCCCCCCCCCCCCCCCCCCCCCCCCCCCCCCCAACTCCAATATAATCCAAATGACACGGTCGTTTCATCTATGTATTGTGAAATTTCCAGGGAGGTGCAGATTGTCTCATTTCGCAGATTAACCTTTCTGGCCACACCCAATCTTTCTCCTTTGCCCCTTAAGTTGAAACAACTTAATGCGAGTTGAAATTTATATTAAATGGGATCAATATTGGATAGGAATCGTTAAAAGGTCATTTGCTAAGGAATAATTAAACAGCAGCGTTTTCCAAGAGGGAATCTAGGAGAGGGTACTTAAGGTTTACCATTGCACAATAAATACGCATTTTGTACACGGTAACTGCTTGGCACGCTTTGATTATTTCTGTAAATTATTTTTACGTAATAACAATCAAGTCAACAAGCAGAAGAAACAGTATCGAGAACGTGTTTGTGCGGCAGTACTGCAATCACCGTTGATTACCATTACTATTAAGTCCTAAATCAAGTAACAGATTTAGAGGAGGTATTCAAAGCTTGTTTACGCACGAGTATGACTAAGAATACCATCGTTTATCATAATTCCCATTCAGCCCCGAGCGCGGTTTCGTTGAAAAACACTTAACAATATTGATAAACCGTAAAGGGCGCAAGCGAGGTCATAGGACCCGATGTGTGGAGTGCATTACAAACAGGAACACAGAAAGTGGAAGTCACGTGATACAATAGAAATTTACCGAGTTAGGTCAGGGAGAACAAGAGGCTGTCGATCAAGAATGATTTCGCTGCATTCGGCCCTCACATTGAGTCTATAAGTACAAAGTATTATTTTCCACTGTAACTAACGGCTCTGACCCGATTATCGCCGTTTATATGGAATAACAATGAGAACTGCATATATGTGTGCGTAAAGGGAACAGGTATTCCAGTGCCCAGTCCCCTACAACTGTAATGCAACAACACCTGAGGGCCAAATCCTACTCCCCCTCCTCAAACACACGTACCCACCTCCTTACAATAGTGTCATAAAATTAAATATCCTGGGATGGGAAAAAGTTAAGGCTAATGTTTAAGACTGTGTGATGGTATCAGTGATTAGTTGTATTTGTATTCGTAAAGAAAGCTCCCAACGAGTATGGCCGAGGTCAAAAGGGCGTATGGCAACCGTTACAGGTTGGAAAGCATGTACTGTGACATGTGCGACGTTACTCATTTAAAAAACATCTTTAATTTTCTATACAAAAAAAACAAGTTCACCTTTCTATACAGAGATATACTACTTAACATGGCCGTGAGTCCCGTAAGATTCCCCAAGGATGGAATTCAGATGAAATCATACAAAAGCAAATTTCTTCTGGTCGAATGGTTTGAAATAGACACTAACGTAAAGGCATAGACAGTTGTTTCAACTCTTACATGCGATCATAACAGTTCCCCTTTAACCTTCCGTTAAAACAACAAAAACAACCTCATGTAAACGTTTCCAGCTGAAAGAGACGAGCCAGGATTTGTTTCAGTCATTTACATCAAAAAAGAAAAGAGCGAGTTAAGAAAACCGCTCCTCAATCAGTGCAAGAGGTTGCTCTTTAATTTACTTTTTCTACTAGTATCAGAGTAACGAGTGTTACGAAAGTGATAAACATGTACCTTCTCTTTACCTCTTTACGATATCAGTAGGTTGCTAGAGGAAACAGTGAAGAGACTCAATAGAACTATCATCGGAAAGGGATATTGCCCTAAATAATCTTGGTTTGTAAGGAAGAGTTGCTAATCACGTACAAGGAGTTCGGGGTTGCGCGATTATTTTTAAACGTTCCCACACTGAAACCGGACAGCTATGAGAGGTTTCTCGTAAAGCTCAAAGGGTGTTAGCAGAATTTCAAGGAGTGCATGAATAGAGTGTTTATCAGGTGGAAGCTTGCGCAGAAAGGAAGCCACTGTTCTGGGTATGTCAGGGGGACTCTACATAACATGAAGGACCTAAATGCCATTTCGTGTCTTACTAAATACACGTCAGAATTCAAGTTGTTTTAAATTATTACTATTTTTTACCGAGCGGGGGGTCACATTCACCCTGAGGATCCTTCTCCTCCCTTGGGACAAACCAAGAAACGTTCCATAAGGGGGGCGGGGTGCACATGTTACTCAAGGTTCACCAACCCACAGGGAATGCAGGATTTTAGTTTACATTGGGGGTCAAGTATACCGCAACGCTCCAGTTAGTAAGCTACATTACAAGCTTGCCAAAGTGGTTAGCTCTACCGAACTTCTCATTCCCGGCAACTAAGTTGCATAATTCATGTTCAGACTGACTGATTTAAGGAAGCTTACGTTAAACATCAACAGAATGACAACTTGATGCACAAATCACAGTGTGAGGAGCCAGGATGAGCGTAGCTCATTTAACTGGATCACACACCATCATTCTGGGAGCAATGCTCATGGACATAAGCTCTTGGAAAAGAAGCTTTGCCGCGTAGGGCATACGAATACGGGACACCTGAAACGGAAAACAAGTTTGGATCTTTAGCCTCAATAAATTTTCTATCCATAAGATACTATTCAAGTTTCAAGGTCAAAATGGTTTACGCCAAATGTACTATCCCAGAATCCTTTATGATAATTTTAGAGTGACTCTTAACCAACAATAAATCAGAATATTACCACCAAACGTAAAATACAATGCCCAGTAAGATATATACTTAAAAAAACAATGAGTTGGCTTCTTGCCACCGGAAAGACCATAACACAGAGAGGCCATTTCTAACTTATATGGCGAACAATTTTTTTCAGCAATTTTCTGTAGCCGGGCTGTCGTTCAATCGCTCAAAAACAGGAAAAGTTAGGGGACATTGGTGAAGGGTTGGAAAAAGATACCAGCAACTTTCAGATAACCTGAAGTTGTACAGAGCTGGATAAAGTTCCGTGAGAGCAGGGCTTTACATTGCACACCCACAAGATTAGTTCAATTACCTGCGTCTTGTTCTTACAACCTCTACATTCAAAGGTGTTATTGCGCAAGTTCGCTATCGCGATCAATCCACACAAGTTACACACGTGACAGCTATATGGATCAGACACTTCAAACAGTCGTTCATTCAGGAACTGTGCAGCGCCGTGTGCAATCATACAGTCACGTTCCATCTCACCGAAACGGAGACCACCGTCACTGAAAAGCAAGCAATATGAAACTAATAATTATTACAACTGGAGAATGGAATACTCGGTTTTCCGTTGGGGAAAAAGGGGTATTGAACGAACTAACAGTTTTTTAAGGAACTGGGAATTGCTCAAGAGATAGCAGAGAATGAAAGGGGAAAGAAACGTGAGACCAATACTCTTATACACAATTTGTTGGGACACTTGCTGCCTTCCCTGCCCATCTCCATGGAACATCTACAAGCTCAGCATGATTCTACGGGTAATTTACCCATAAATGAGTTGCCAGTAATGGGATTCTTGTGTTTGCGCAAAGATTTCTGGGATCGCCACGGGGCAAAAATTGCAACTTGCTAGAAAAACCTGGCGAAAGGTTGTTTCGACGTCCAAAAAAACGATTTTGGAGAGAGATTATCGCCTTCTCTTCACCTTGATACAACCAAAGATTGAAAACTTAGATTGGGTTCTAGCTAATATTTACCGTTTGTAAATAAGTATAACAACATCAAAACTGTTTGTAAATGAATGTTAACACCATAAACATGGTAGATACAAAATGTTCTCTACCCACCCCCTGAGGTTGTAATTTGACACTCACCGTGATCGTCCCTCCATAGGCTGTCGAGTAAGAATCTGGACTGGACCTCTGGCCCGAGAGTGGATCTTATCGTCCACCATGTGCTTCAAGCGCTGATAGTACGTTGGACCCAAGAATACTTGCGCGTTCAACTTTCGCCCAGTAAAGCCATTGTATAAGACCTATAACCAGCAAAACAAGATAATTGCGTTGTGCCGTTCTTTAAGTCACTTCTCAAGAAAAGGTAGCCATTCACTATTCCTAACTGCGGAAAAATACAAACATACGCCAAGAGCTGAGTACAAACTCCCTGCAGCATTACCGGAGGAAATGCACTTTAGGGAGTTTCCTTGTTATCACTTTGAATTCAGAGCAGCAGTTTTTATGAATACTTCGGACTTGGAAAATCGTCAAAAAGCGCTCGGAAGGAGAAAAATCAAATCGTTGTGGTTTTAAGCTCATCGTTTTGTGACCCGTACCTCATTGCCTCTCAGATGGTATCCATAGTCGTTGAGCAGTTGAGAAACTTTCTGGACGTTCACAGCGTCGTTGAAGGGTGTGGCATCACCTATCTCTCCTTTGTTAGCTGACACCTGTCAATCGTCATTAGACAGCGTTAATCAAGCGATGAATCCAAAAATACAAACATGTATATATCAAATTAACAAGGCTACTGTTCGGGATACAAGGACGTCGACATGATTACCAGAGTATGCAAAGTCTTTCTAGGAGAAAACAAGTAGGACTAAAGAGATGGATGTTCGAACTACGGGTACATGGTAGGTGCATAGGTCTGGCCATGGAATAGAAACTTGATGGAAGACTGTAGGGTGTATAAAATAGAAAAAACACCAGGTGAGAAGTCACAATTTACACCAACCCTTTAAGTTCTGTCGTCTTTTCCAGTTCACTCATAACAAATGAGGGAAATCGAGAGAGAGAGAACACAAATTGTGGTCTGTTACCTTTCCTTGTAGACACTCGATCAAGTGACCGATTGTCATACGGCTGGGAATGGCATGAGGGTTGATTATCACATCAGGAGTGATCCCTTCACACGTAAATGGCATGTCCTGATAAAAAAAAAACACAGATCATTAGCATCAACAATTAAATCTGAGTAATAGTCCTTTCCATATCTCGTACTGATTTGAAAAAGCTACAATTAAAGGCAAGGTACACAATCTCCGCAAACACGAATTTACTTACCTCTTGACGATACGTTATTCCACAAGTTCCCTTCTGACCATGCCGACTGGCAAACTTGTCTCCGATTTGAGGAACACGAACAGAGCGAACCTGACAATTTAAAACAATCTCTCTGTTACTTTAAAGAGCTTTGCTGGTAAGTTACTTTACTGCGCAAATACAGTTTAAATGTCAATAATGCAGCTAAGCAAGATTTTTCTCCCCTCAAGAACAGGTTGCTAGTGTTACCGTTACTAAGTAATCCAAAACCATTCAAGTTTCTCTGTGTAGTTGTAAATTCAATCAATTCCAATCATACCTTAATCTTAGTAAACTTGTAACCTTCCTGGTTGATGGTGACCATTACCTTGAAATAATGAAAGCCAGAACAACATCATTAGCTACACCTGCACTAAGAAACACAAGCACAAGAGACTGTTCCTGATCCGCAACCAAAGGAATAAAAAAAGAAAAAAACTAACCTGATCCACAATCCCTGTCTCACTTGGACGCAAGAATGTGCTAGAGTCTTTCTTGCTAAACCTCCGAGTTGTCCCTTCCAGCTGTAGAAAAACATTGAATCTTAGCCTTTGAAGAGAGAAGCCAGTGACACTGTCTATTGTAACATTACAGTACCTAGTTGCACTAAGAACAAGCCACGGGCCGCCAAATTTGTTTCAAATATCTAACATCCGGTAAAATCTATGTACCTCATCATCATTTTCTGGCAGAGTGATGGTCTTTCCTACAATGACATCATCACCACTAACTCTAGTACCAGGTGCTATGAGGCCATCATCGTCAAGTTTATCATAAGTTGCATTCCTCATACCTGAAAAGGAAAACCTTATTGACCAATACATTCAGACGTAAGGAGTCACTTGGACCTATTCGTCACTGTCTGTGCGTATGCCTGTTTGTTTGACAGGGGTAATTTTCTAAAGAAACTGTGGTGCTGTGTCGGTGGGAGGTCTCACAGGATACTTTGGTTTTATCAACTGAGTTGATAATGTAAACTTGCCTCTGAGGAGAGTTTCTAAAGTTGAAATTTAAACTGTTTACCCTTCGTCAGAGCAAAGGGACAACAAGGAGCTCTGTCGAACGTCTAACTCTCGAATCGACAGCTTAAGAAACTCTCTACAGTAGTTTTTTTGCATTATCAACTCAGTTGATGAAACCGAAATTTGTTTGTATGTCCGTAGCATGTGAACAGTAATGCTCTTCATAATTATTTTACATCTCTAATGACACTTTCTGAATTATATATAGTAAATGTTATTACATTATTCATGGTAAAATAAATAGCTGCTATTGTTGCCAGTAAAGAAAAAGGGAATAAACACACTCAAACTAGGTTAGGTTTTGGAGGCGTTTGTAACCCATGCAAAAATAAATAATAAATTGAGTATCTAAACATCTCAATCTAAAGATCAAAGAAAAGGATTTGTAATTTTTTTTGCCCAGAAATGACAATAATTTGTGGCACTTTGTGACAAAAAAATGGAATGCCCAGGACAAACGGAAAAGAGGAAGCCAAAAAAAAAAAAGCCCAGGTTAGGGTTAGCTCAGGTTAGGATGAGGTGTAGAAGGGACATTGTTGATGGCCCATGCTCCAAGGGGAGCTGAGGGCTAATTAATTCACTAACTAACAAAAAAAGAGGATCCCAGTGATTAGCATCTGCACGTCTGAAGCTAAGGCCAACAAACGACTCATGAAAACCTGAATGGTTATAACTATCATAGTAATTATGAAAAAGCAACTTACCTTGACATGTCTCTCTGGTTGGTTTTTCAAACGTTTCTTCTTGGTCCATTCCTCTCTTGGATTCTTGATCTCGGTATGAGCGGTAAAACACAGACCTGGCAAAGTTCAAACCATCACTGTTTAATAACCACTTGACTTAGACCAAAATGTTTCATGAACACCAATGGGAAACATCATAACATTTCTGTGAGTTTTAACTGACTTAAGTCACTTTACAAATAGTATATACGTTTTAACCCTGTTACTCCCAAGATCTAACTAGCAAAGTTCTTTATTGCTTACCGTGCAATTCTCATCATGTTAGTTCCAACAATTGGGTATTGGATCAATTAATAATTCCCTAGTTGATATTTTTCTTTATTCTTATTCACTTTTCTGCTTGATGAAGTATTGATATTGTACGGAGAAATTTTGTCTTGGTCACTAAAGGAATTTAAAGGGTTAACCTAAACTTTGTCCAATGAGAAATTGAGCTGTAAATGAGGGATGTTTTAGCTTGAAGATAATGTTTCACCTAAATGTGCCATTACAAAATTTGTCAGCCACAAAAAAACATTGCACTTGGTTGTAGAAATTAAACAAGAGAGTTGTTTTGTTCTTCACCTGTAAAGCCCTCTATCAATAGCTGAAGCGTTCATGATGACTGAATCTTCTTGATTGTATCCTGTGTATGATGCAATTGCTGCTATAGCATTGATTCCTTAAAGAAAAGAAAAGAGACAGCAAAGTTTGAAAATAAGATGAGAGAATTATGGAGCTTTCTTGATGAACAATTGGATGAGCAGACCAGTCAAGTCTTCATTAATTTGTTAAGGGAGGAAGCCTTTAAACATCATTTAACTTAGAACTGACTTACAGTCTTGAACACTGACAATCAAGCCAGATGACTCTAGACTAGTAACAGCTCTCCCCTCCCAAAAACTCATTGTCAATTCCCCTTTCTGCTAGCCAAACATTTCTTACAAACCTCATCTCTGAGATTTCATTATATTACTACAACAAAGTCCCAAATAATGACACTTTACTTTCTTCTTGTCACCTTTCTGCTTGACAACTTAATTAATTGCAGGCCAACATTACTTAATTGGTCACTCCTGGGAGTTAAAGGGTTGCCAAGATGTTACATGTTCATGAATAACTGGTAAGGTTTAAAACTCACACTGCATGCACAAGTTTTCATGCCTTTCTTCCAAACTTCACTTTCAGCAAATAGAAAATTTTTTACAAGTCAGCTTGAAAGCCAAATTTGTAGTCCCCAAACTGTGCTTACATGCAAATTAATTTCATTTACCTGCGGGCAGTTCTCTGAATCTGAGATACTCCATAGAACGAGTGGTGACCAAAGGTTTCTGAGGGTAGTACAACACATGAGCCAATGTGTCCATACGCACATGGAAGTTAGTGATGTACACACCCATGGCTTGTTTACCCATAGCAGACTGGTAGGTATTACGAGGAGACTGTCAACAAGTACAAAAGTTATGTTTAAGAGGATGCAGGGAGTAAAGACTCATAAGACTAAAGTTTACCCTATTACTTGGAAGACAAGAATGGATAACCACTTAAGATATGATGTTTTAGGTGATTCCTCAGTATTGTATTGCATTTCCAGTACAGCATGCAGAAACAATGTAATCAGGCAATAAGTATACGTGCATTCCAAGAACACTGTATTGATTTTCGATCAATGGACCAGGCAAAGAAGAATGAGGTCTTTAGCTCTTGAACAAGCAAGGTGACCTTTATTTATTAAGGCAAATTTTGGGGTGCAAATTATCTTGTTTAAATTGGAGAAATTAAAAAAAATTATGAAAGGGAAAAAAAGTTATAGCCTGTTACTCAAGGATACAAATCATGACCATGAATGAATGACTTTAAGAACATTTTGAGTGATTTTTCCACAAATTACATGTATATAATATCCATTTTTTCTAAATACTTGTGACTTCCTACCTCTCAAACTTTTTTCAATTGTTACGTGTACTTTAAAAACTATTGCTTCCAACAACCTCAAATTGCACCATGACCAATGAAATGACACATGTAACTGGTGCCAGTAGAGGCATAAATGGGTTAAGATCAGCCCATCATATTTCTAAAACAAGCATGGTGACTTTCTTTTTTATTGTATTTTTTTGCAACATTTAAGGAAAGTTTGAAAAAAATTGTTTGATAACTTTTTTCCTGAGGAATCACCTTAATTAACCATTTAAAACCCCAAGGGTGCCTAGGTGATAGGTTCTCCATAAATTGTCACCCTCAATAGTTAAAAAAATTATCTTCATCCATACCATAGGAAATGTAAAGAGAAGAGTACAGAGAATAATTATGGATATTGATGTTTAGGTGCGATGGTTTAAAGGCCATCCTTTTTTTTCTTTTCTTTACACCAAGTTGCCATTTTCCATTCTGTATATACAAAAAACTTGCCTAAAACTACACATAGGATGGCATTTTTTGCTGATACCAATGGCATCTTACTTTCATAAAACCACAAGGTGGCAACAAATGCTACTGGTAAGTTGGGTAGACAGTTTCTTAAAAGGATCTATTAAATTTTGCAGAAAAAGTTTTCAAAACAAGTAACTATTAAATATTTTGTTATACATACCAGTATTTTTTATTAAGTGGTAGTTTTTTTTAATGTGGCCTTGAGTAAACTACTTTTTTTTTTTCTTTGAGTTTGAAGTTCTGAAGTATTGGATTAAAAGGAAACTATACAACCACACTAGAGGTACAGTGAAAATACGTGCATATGGTTGTATACATACAATATTAGGAATTAAAATACCTGATTGTGATCTGGAAATGGAATAATAGAGGCACACACTCCCAGGATCATGGCAGGATGAATTTCACAGTGAGTGTATGTCGAACAGTAAGCCTGGCCTTTCTCATGCATATGGTTGTATACATACAATACTAGGAATTAAAAATACCTGATTGTGATCTGGAAATGGAATAATAGAGGCACACACTCCCAGGATCATGGCAGGATGAATTTCACAGTGAGTGTATGTTGAACAGTAAGCCTGGCCTTTCTCTACCAATTCATCAGGAGTCATGGCTACCATCACTGTCTCTTCTTCATTTACATCAATATACTCTACAATTCCACCTGCCACCAAGTCTTGCCAGCTGCAAAAAGTCATGAAATCTATTTTCTTTTTACACAAAAAAATGATGCCCCAAAAAGGAACTAAATTGTGTATGTATAGTTGTCACAGGCCACACATCCCCCTTCTCCTCGTGTCACATGTAAGTATCAATGTACATGTTGTGGTTCTCTTTTTCAGTAGTTTATAATTTTGATTGTCTACTTTGAAGTAATTACCATATACTAGTGACATGCAAACAAATCAACATCTGTGTGGCCAATTTGATAATCAGTTTCAGTGTACTTGTTCCAAGCTAGACAGACAGCACTCCAGACTTCACTATTCTACTATTCTCAGTGCAGTTTCATGACGACTGCATGTTCTTAAAAACCTGGCTTATATCCCATTCACACCAGCAAAATATGTTTAGTTAAACAAAGGTTTAAGTGAATGAAAATCAGAGACAAAGAACTGAAAAACTGAGGATTTCCAAAGGATTCAAGTAATAACAAACTTGTATTTTCAATGTGCTACATTTGAAGTCAACAAACATTAGCTAAAAGAGCTTCTATGAAGAAAAATATTGTCAACCCTTTAACTCCCAGAAGCAATTAACCTGTAACTTCTCCCTATAACATCCATACATTATCCAGCCACCTGGTAATGAGAATACTCAAACTTATCAGGAAGAAGTTTTAATCTTGATCTAACACCAAATTCTCATGACTTGTATTTACAAAGAATTGCATGTCAGTTGGAGGGGAGAATTAACAATCAGATCTTGGGAGCTTAAGGGTTATCTGTGTTTAACAAAACAGCTATAAAACATGTTTAAGCTTTGGTGTGAATAAGGATATAAGTTTGTCTCTCTAATACAAGGTGAAAAAAATTACTTTAGGATGGCAATAGAGGTAAAAAGTGAATGTTATAAAGATTTTGTTTAAATAAAATGATATCATTTAACAATACCTCACCTGTACTCATTGTACTCTCTCTCCTTTAACTGATCGATGTGGTGTTTCTTCAGCAACAATTTTTGGTTTTCAACAATCAACAACGGACGGCAAATCCTACCAGCATCTGTGTAAATTCTAATTTCTCGTTCTCTGAAGTCTCTCACCATTGACACCTGAAAATTGAGCAGCAGTCACAGTGACATTCCTGCATGCAATGCTGCCTCCTTCTGACAGAACTGAATCTTCCTTAGTGGTAAAATGTTTTGTAAATTTTTCACATTTACCTTTTTTTCTCTGTCAGTTTGGAAGACTAACATTTATAATTATTCATAAATACATTATTTTTTGCCATCAACAGCCCATCATCAGGCATTACCTCAGACACAATGATGTCCATCTGCCTCCTCAACTTCCTTAATGTGCTCATGAGCTGATCTGGATCTCGATGAATTCCAACCCAACATCCATTCACAAAAATCTTGGTTGCACTATGAGGAAGAAGTTTTAACAAAAATTAAAGTTTCCAGTTCCACCTATTTCCTTAGCATCTAAAGCAACTCTAAATCCTGAGACAATCTTCCCTTTTATTGCTTAAGAGAAGAGAAAAACCTAACTCCATGGAGTTTGGTTACAATATACATGGACTTTTGGAAGAGAAGTGAAAGAACCGAACTCCCTAGAGTTTGGTTGGATGATATATGGACTCAATGCAGGGGGCTACTTTGCCTAGACTGAAAGTTACCCTGCAGAATTCAATATCAGATATACTGTATATTTTCAGAAATATCTGCAATTCTCACTTGCTAATAGCAGATGGGGTTATTTCTTCCAAATTCTCCATGGTCCATTCCTCCAAGAACTCCAAGATAGGACTTGGTTGGGAACCAACAGAAATATAAGCCATCAAAGCCAAGTTCTTCACCAGTCCAACAGCATGACCTTCAGGGGTTTCTGCTGGGCAAATCATCCCCCAATGGGTGTTATGGAGCTGCCGTGGACGTGCAAGCTTACCTTCTCGACCAATGGGTGAGTTTAGACGACGCAAGTGGGATAATGTGGAGGCAAAGGTCAGTCTACTGAGTACCTGAGACACACCTGCACGGGACTGATGAGCTTTCTTCTGGTCACCCCAGTTTCCAGTGGCCAGAGAGTATCTCAGACCATCTGTGATCACTTTAGGTTTCAGAGCTAGTTCTATGTTGAAGTCCTGAAAAATGAAGTGCCGTTAGCACAACTGCAAAGCTTTTCATTAACACCACAAAGGTGGCTGGTGGAAAAAGGAGTAGGTCATAGAGATAGATAAATGTAGTTCCAAATCTTCCAATACTTTCTGGCAAGCACTTGTTAGACTGGATAAGTGATGACATTTCATTGGTTTAAGGCAAAAGCATAATCCTCTAGCAATGGATTTATTTGCATTACATGATTACCTTTCCTCTATCAATAAACTTCTGGGCATACATTCTGACTTCTTTCATGAGATTTCTGAAGAGTCTAAAAATAAAACGAGAAAGAGTAAATTTTTTTAATATTTTACAGTGAGGACCTAAATGTATTATGACTGAACATGAATTATGACTGAAGAAAACTCATGCTTGTAAAACCTTTTTGCCCTTTCCCAAATACAGTTATCTGTTCTTGATCACAAGCCATGAGTGTGAACTGCAAGACTAGTGCTAAGACCAATACCTATAATTATGGCTTACAACTTACAAACTGAATAATAAATGAAAATTGAAAAGAATGAAAAGAAACCAAAATTGTAACAGCTACACTGTGTGCATTACAGAATGTGGGAATGAAAAATTAAACTCAAACATAAACATGAATTTTTAGGGTTTGTTGCTCTTTACAATTACATACTTCCAAATGACTTTAAGAAACCTTTCATTTTTTAACTGGTCCAAAAGTTTAGAATTTGATTCCAAAATAACATGAAAATTATCTAGTAGTGGAAGGGTTTTACTTTGTTGTACTAAAAATATCATATTCAAGCTATGTCCCATGACTTTCAAAGACTCGCATGCAAATTCCAAGTCTATCCTGGTATTTCATGACCCGCAAGAACATTCAATAATCAAAGCTAACTCTAAACACATTTCCAATTTACATGCTTATACAATAATCTTACCCTCGGAAGAGAAAAGCAAGCAGTGGCCCTGCAAGGTCAAGCCGTTTATTCCCGTAATGATCCCGATCATCCAGTTCCCTACGACCAAGTGCTGCCAACAGTAGCCTATGAACCATGTATCTGTAAGGAAAACAATCCTATCACTGTCATCATCAGACCACTCCCTTTTTGGAATTTATGAGATGTCCACAATGGTGATCACCTTTTGTGTTAATGCCACTTGTGTAAAAGACTTACAAGTAGTCCATTCTTTTATGAGCAAATATCACACAAACAGTGCTTGCTCTAAGAAATGCAAAATAAGTGGTATATCATCACTCAAATAAAGTGAGTCAACACACAAAAATCAGCAACTCACTTTCACATGAAAAAGGTTAGTTCTTTCAACAAAGTTATCCAAATCTTTTTCTCTCAAAAAGCTTTGAATCAGATAAAGGTTATGTGCTTTCTTCTAGTACAGCTTGAATTTTAGTTAAGTAAATTTTGAAAATTCTTTATTCCAAATTTGATTTTTGACTTGATTTTTTCCTCTACAGATTAAACAGGAAATGTAAGCAAACCTTGAAACAAAATGAATCAAGTTAGCTAAAGAAAAAAATTGGCTTACCCCAGGAAGTAAGCTTTCTTGGTTTCACAAAAATCACTAACACCAACATGAGGGAGCATTTCCTTCTGAAGGATTTCCTTGGCATATTTGATACGCCTCTCCTTTGTAACACCAGGTTTGGCACCACGAGAACCAATAAAGTTCAAAGCCACATTCTGTTCTTGAATAACAAATGCCTCATCTAAAGATGGTTTTACCTAGAGATTCAGATGAGAATTTTTTCAATTTTTTCTTGGTTTGAACTTTTTTATACCAGTTTGATTTTGCTACACAATGCAAAAAGAAAATGAAACTGGTTTCCAAAACCACACATGCTACACCAACCACTAGAATGTCTGGATATATACAGTATATACTTTTTCTGTGCAACAACACCTATTTTCTTTATTTTAACATCAAAGAGGCACAGTAGGTCCTGTAGTGTACTGAAACATGAGAGAGATCCTTGTCATCAATAACATTTTTTCAGCAAGAAAAACAACATACATTTCCTGTATGAATCATCTTCAAATGGCCTGGCAGTGGCTCAAGGTAACCCTCTACATAAACATGTACTCCTTGTTAATGCAGACTTCTATCTTGAACAATTGTTTAGCTTTGGATATATCAGAACATACATTTACAGGCAGGTGGCATGTGTATTAAAGTTATAAGATTACAAAGAGGATTTTGATACATCTTATAAGTTTCACGTATATTTCCAAGGTATATGTTCAAATTTGGATATCAACATTTCAAACTGCCAATAAATTAATCTTTGACTCAATTCTCACCATTTCCATCATTTCAGGATCATCAAAGTCATAAATGATATGCTCTAGAATATCCCGATCAGCAACAAAACCCAGAGCTCTGAATACAATCATAATGGGGATTTCTTGTCTGATATATGGCAAAGAACCAACAATCCTCTGGCCAATAGCACTTTTGCGACCTCCTTGACTTCCCTTGGCTAACATGGACACCCACATGGTGCTTGTTGGTCTTGAAGAATGCTCCAAGCATGATCTAATCTCTGCGGTAAATGAATATTTTGAATCCTTCTTGGAGAATACATATACTGTATTTGTAGCCATTTTCTCTTGGGCAATCAACACTTTTTCAGATCCATTAATAATGAAGTAGCCTCCAGGGTCAAGAGGACACTCATTAAGTTCTGTCAAGTCACGATCTGTCAAACCACTCAAGAGGCAGTAAGTGGATCGCAACATGATTGGTATTTTTCCAATGAACATTTTACTATGTTGGGTGACTTGAGGTTCGTCATCTTCTCTAATCATTGTTTTTGTGATGTCAACATAAAGAGGGGCTGAATAACTGCAAACAATCAACATCAATAATGAAAGTTGCCATACTTTTTCAAAACAATTTCATGTCTAAGTTTTCAATTCTCTTTTGGGGTATGAACTATATTTTCTCAATTAAACTCCCACAGCATCAGATTTAAACTTGTTCCAGTCAGCCTGTCCTTTAATAATGGGGTTCAGTTTTCCACCATTTAACTACAAGTTGATTTTTTTTATCAGCCAACCTTCAAGACCCACGGATGTAGGTCAAAACAGCACAATTTTGCTCATCATTTAGCTGCATCAAACTGTTCATGGGTCTTTTTCTATGACTTATCACTTTTTCACTGAACATTTTCATGTATAAAATAAATAAATTTATGCAGCGTATACAAAAAAATTTAAAGGCCTTTTCCAACACAAATGATTTTGTATCACAAATAGCCCACACATAAACGAAGATTTTAGATTAAAAGACAAGTACTAATAAGGGTTCCAGTTTACCAGAACATGTAGTACAATGGTGGACCCATGAATCTATATTATTTTGGCTGAAAAAATACAATACAGTTCTACTCTAAACATTTTTAGACAAGTCTTTCTCAAATTGGCTAGGTGGTGCTAGGTACCAATTTGGAAAGGAACCAACTTCATCAAAGAAAGAAAATTGGTGTGCAAACCTACAAAAAGTACAGTGAAGCTCCATAGTGTACATTTTGTTGGTATTTTGTAACAAACTTAATTCAAATACTTCACTGGTATCAAACTCGTTCTTGAATAGAAAGGTTTCTTACAAGTACAACTCTACAATACTTACGTTAGATTGCGTAGCCTTGCTTCATTTGGCATCATAGGACTTGGAGCACCATCTTTTTCCCAGTGAGTTGGTTTTGACAGATAAATTTGTTCAAACTTCAGTAAGAATCTTGGCTATAAAGAAAAACATTATCTTTAAATAGAAGGGAAATTTTGATGCTCATTTACTAAAGTGAATCTAGGCTAAAACCTTAAGTCTTCTCCAGAGAGAAAGAATCTTTATAAATTCATGGCTGGGTTAGCCAGCTGTAAGAATCTTAGAAGCCACTTGCAGCATCCTTGTTTGATATATTCCTTGCATCATTCGCTAGGAGCTGCTGCAAATTCTTTTACTTTAGACTGATTGGATTTAGATCAACAAGAGAGACAGCCTATTGACACCTGTAAGTGTCAAACTGGATGTGCTCAGTGTGCAAACTCACAGCATGACATAGCCTCTTTAACAAACTCAGTTATAATTTTTTAACTTACTGGAGTTTCAGTATCTGCAGTCATGTGAAGCGACTCCGCTTGCAGATCAATTTCAGGAGAGTCTTCGACAATTCTTTGCACAGACATCTGGATAAACTCGTCAAAGGAATCCAACTGCTGTCGAACAAGGCCTTTTTCGTCAAAATACGAGCTAATGACAATCCAGCAAGCTTCCTGCCATAAATCTCGAGTAATTTCTTCTCCCTCCTCCTCTCCATAGCCAACTTCTACGAAGAATCAGCAATAATAACGAATGACCGGCATGTTTTGTGAACGCCAGTTTGTTTTGGTTTGAAATTAAAGATTGACAAAGTTAACCACAAATTAAAAATAGTTTCTTACCATCTTCTGGGTCATACATGACTTCTACGTAATCTTCAATTAATTATGACTTATACTACACCTTTCCTTTTGAGGATGGACGCGAAATGTTAATGATTCAGATGGATTTTTTATACACAATCGCAGGGTATTTCGAGTCCGCCATGACAGACGAACTGCAAAGTCGTCCAAGTGAGGCCCAGCTTTTCAAAGGAAACGCAATGCACTATGGGAGGATGAAAATGATCTCAAGCGCAGAAGAGACGCCGAAAGTCACAACAACAAAAGGCGAGTTTGATCTTTCGGGACAATCTTGAGTACTTCATAAAAAGTCTACTATGAAACCATAACATCTTCTTCAGAGGTAACACAGGTCTTTATACTTTTCGCGTGTTTGTTTGGTTTATCTGCGGTAAACCAAAATTACTTTGGATGAAGTCTGTACCTTAATGAACCTTGGGTTTCGATGGTAACCAGCTGTATGACATTAACCCTGCTTTCGATCAAGAAACGTAAATTCACAAAGTCGAAATAACTCACCGCTATCTGGATCATTATTAATTTATAGCGACTAAATCATGAGTTGCCGGATAACCCGCTAAGGAATCGTTATGAAATTCGACACGTTTACGCACTTAGTTCTCGAACTGTAGTGATTACGGTAAGATCGAAGCTTCGAGTGTGGTTTTCATCAGAATTCTATCTTTCCTAACTTTCCCCAAATTGTATCTAATCTTCTATAAATTAAATTTTACGGTTTGATTTCTTTTCCCTTTTTATTTCCCTTCCTTGCTTGAACTGACTGGAAAACCGTTTAGTCGTTTTCAAGGACTAAGCTTATGTTCAATATAACCTTATAGATTTTGCTCGGTTTAATGATCTTTAATTAGAAATTTTCAGTATTGCTTGGAACAATTAACATTCCATTCTCACAGAAGACGCCAGTACAGTTTATTGTCGGATGATTCGATAGAGATAGTGATCAGGTTATGAGTGAAGTGAAAATGTGAACGATACAAACCCTACGCAGGAGGGAAAGATTCGTTGTGCTCAGATGACAAGTGACAAATATGAAGTGAGCGTAAACATAGTAGACATATTGCAATTGGAAAATTCACGAACGCTTTTCAAGATGAATTCTTGCAAAGTTTTGCAGTTGTAGTTTGTTATCTGTTGTATACATTCAGAATAGATTAAGGTGATGTTATTTAAAATCATTAAATTCACATTAAGGATAGTCATTTGGTGGCAGAAAAGCAGTTACAGATGTAGAGATATCGAAAACGTGTTCGGAAGATTTTATCGTTGGAAGGATTTATAACGAAATAGTAAAAAATAGCCTCGCAATTATGGCTCTTTTGCTTTAAGAACATTGAGGAATTCTTCATCTTGTTTTCAGGGATTTCATTTTGAAGGGCTTAGTATGCGCTGTAGTTTGATTTTTAACTAATGCAATAATTCACGCACATGCCACTTTAATAATGTAAACATGTTTACTGTTGGTAGCTTGCGGGGATCTTTTGTGTTGGCAAATTATTTTCTCAAACACATCAAGATGTCTATTTTAAGCAATGATCAAGTTTGATAATTGTGTGACTTTATTAATAAAAGTATCTGGGCAGTAGGGGGTCCACATTAAACTTTTTTCTATGTCACAATTGGTAGACCTCATAACATGGTTGGCAGAATTAACTGTCAGTCACAATTTTTTTTGTGAAAGAAAATAACGATGAGTATCTCACTTAAACTTCACTCAGTAAATGCTTTGTGATTAACCATTTTTTCCACTAAAATCAGTATTCTTTTTCTCTATACTGTTCCCTGTACATTTCATATATATAAAACTGTGACCGAGGTCTTGAAAATACTGCCTGAGGCCGTAGGCCAAGGGCAGCATTTCAAGACCGAGGTCACAGTTTTTCGCCATACAGACCAACCCTTAGTTGGTAAATAACATATTTTTTTTTTAAACTTGACAAAATTCTTTCCAAAAGAACCCAAATGATTTAGGGCTGTAAATATGGCAAGATCTTCTATAAACTGAACAATTTTTGAGCGAGTAAATAGTAGTTAAAATAGAGGTGATGCAAATTAAGGAGAGATGCCTCACTTCATTTCCATTACGATAAAAGTGATTTAAAAGGCTTCCAAACAAACTTTGAAACATTATTTTTACAAGTATCTGTCACAATCTGACACCTTTCAATTAGGGAGTGTGTAAGAAAAAAAAGTGCAAGAACATTTGAAAAACAACAGAACTAGTTTGGCAAGGACTATCTAGACAATGTTTTCTTCAAAAACAGTCAATGATCTAACAGAAAGTATTATTCACTCTCATTGACGATTCATTCATGCAGGAAGATTTACCTCTGTTCATAAATGGCAAGGAAAGTATTTGTGAGTAAATTCAAATTTTCTATTTTGAAGTTGTGAGAGTTTGTTCATTTGTTTGCTGCAATGGTGCATGTAAATCTAGTCTTTCCTCCAAAAAAACTAAATTTGAATGGCACACTCCAACAAAACACACAAGGATTTAATGCAGCCTTTTCTCATCAAATTCTTTCAGTTTCTGTCATGCAATTTATGGTACAAATGTCCAAATTGAACGGACTTGGAAAGACTCACCAAGAGCGTATATTTTTTGTAGAACTTAAATTAAAACTTCGCTCGCTCTTTCACTACGAACAAATTGTTTGAGAAAATTCAGATATTAAATGAATGAAAGTTCCATTGTTCAGTTTAAATGTAACCAAATACTTCACATTTTAACTTTCTATGTACTTTTTGTGCACAATTAAAATTAATTGCAGACGGTTTTTAGGCTGCTTGTCAACCAATGTAACGACACTATTGCTTATACAAATTCATTCTGAAACCAATATTTTTCTGTCAACCAAAGTGATTTGAAAGAGAGAAAGAGAGGATTCATAAGTTGCTTATCAGCTTGAGGTAGTGACCGACGTGTTTGCTTAAAAATACTGTCCAGCCAGAAAAAGGAGATATATTTATGGAAAATGGCAACGATAGTTGGGATGTACTTGGCGACTCACGAAAGTGTGGCCCATGGGCAGAGATAGGAAAATGCTGACAGGGTAAACAACCAATCAGATTGCAGGATTCGTTACATTGCCCTCTAAGAAAAAAATAAAAAATGGTAATAATAATAATTATTTCTTAAGCACCATTTCTACTAATTTACAAATAGTGTTAAACGAAGTTGCTTGAGTATATAAAATTATATCATCATAATAATTGTTAAAATAGAAACAAATCTGAGGTGAAAAAATCTAAAAGGAACAACTACATAAAAGGTCTTGACTCTACTCTTAACTCTTTAACTCCCAGATCAAATTTGTAATTCTCCTTACTGTCAATCATACAATTCTTATAATATTAGTTCAGAGAACTTAGTGTTGGATCAACTAATTATCCCCAAATTGATATTTTTCTTTATTCATATCTCTTGTCTGGTTGATATTGTATTGATATTGTAAGGAGAAATTCTGTCTTGGTCACTCATGGGAGTGAAAGGGTTAAAAGAACTTAGGTATGCTGTAGTTCTTCCTTGGTCTGGTAAATTGTTCCAGAGTGAGGGAGTAATGACCTAAATTCCATAGTGCTCAAGAATATACTTAGGAAGTCCTAACAATTCCTTGTTGGAATAGTAGAGTGTTCTTCAAAGGGCATGTTTAATTAAAGAGTCTGTCAAATACTTCCAGTTGCTCCAATTTCATGATAAGCTTTAAATGTCAAAATTAAAATCTTGAATTCAATTCTTGATTAGACAGGCAACTAATGTAGTTCTTTCAAGTGGAGGAAATGTGGTTGTGTTTCTTTGCATATGGGCCACAGCATTTGAACAAAGAGTGCTGTTGAGAGGATTTTGTGTAGCAATGAGGCGCTTCTTAAAATGATGATCATTTTCTTAATTCTCATAACTTTGGTGTTTTATTCAGCAATGATAGTTAGATGAGAAACTAGAAACCAGTCACTCTTAAGTGTCTAAGGGTTGAAACATTACAGCTTAATGAAAAATGAAAAAGCAAGGAAAGTAGCAAGGTACATGTATAAGCAAGAGGATTTATTCTGGCTATTTTCTTTTCCCATTGTTTTCTATTGGCAGCAAATGGGAGAACTAGGATTATAGTTGATGAAAATATCATAAGTATACTAAATAAAATTTACTGAATTTTTATATTTGCATTATTTTAGAACAGGACAGGAGGTGGCAAGGAACCATGGGTATTTCTGCAAGTATAGCAAATTCCTCACGGAAATATCGCACCAATGAAGAATTGCCTCCTGCTCAGAAGTCATCTAAACATTCATCTATTGAAGTAAGTGATGATGATGACGAAGAATTGAGAAGTGTGCAAAGCTTCAGACCATCAAGCCCACTGGCTCATCAAGATGCAAGGTCCTTTGCTTTTGATAAGACTTACACAAAACAGTATCGTCCAAGAAATCAAGTGGACAGGCATAGTTACCATGGCAACTTGGAGCCTATTCGTCCTGGTAATAGACACATATACCATCCTGGCGGTTTAGATCGTGGTTCTAGAGATGGAAATGGTTCATATTCCACATGCAGTGTGAGAGAGCCACTCTCAAGGGCTTTGGTTTCACCAAGTACCTCAAGCATCTATGGGTTGCAGCCTAGACCTGCACGAACCATGAGAGATGTCAGAGAGTATTTGTTTCACCATCCAGAGCTATTAGCTGGTAAGAAGAACATGCAAATACAGCAATCTGTTGAGAGTGATCTGTATGGTCTCTCTACCAATCACAAGCAGATGAAAACTAAACAGAGTGTTTATATGGGACTCATAAAAGCTCCCATAATCTATGGAGCCGGTGCTCGACCAGATCATAAGCAGCTTAAGGTTGATCAAAAGTTGTACCTCAACCTTGTTTACCCTACATTAAAACCCAAAGATTACCACAGTCAGGTCATAAGATCTCGTCCTCCCCTTAAACAGGAAGGCATGGTTGTTGTGAGGAAAGATGATTATCTACGGCAGCCTAACAGATATGTCAAGAGGCCTCTGCCACACATGCTGGTGTCAAGAGTTCCAGAAGCCCCTAGTGGAAAAAATGTCCTTAGATCTGTGCATCAGGAAAGAACAATTTCAAGGGGGGAGGCTCCTACTTCCCACAGGAGTAGAAGTCAATCCCGAAGCTTAACAGGAAACACCCCTCAAAAAGCAAAAAATGACTATGTTGATTTTCCTGATGTTGTTAATAAACCACTCACAAGCAGGTCAGTTAGAAATGAACCACAAGTGCTAAGGGACAGTCAACAGATGAATGGTTTTGTTAAGTCAGGGAATTCACAGCAAAGGACTCCAAGACATGTAAAAGAAGACAGTGAGGTTGTATTCACCTTTAATGTTGATGAACTTAATTTGAGGAAAAAGACTGAAATACCTCGGTTTGAACATGACAAGGAAAAAGGACAAGTAGTGCCACTTTACTTCAGGAAGTCTCTGGCTTACAGCCCAAAGTATGAATATAGTGAAGACCTTCTGTCAAGTCCATTGTGAAGATGTTAGGCTATCACTAAATTATTTTCTCACATACTAAGGGCAGCCTATGTGTAAATTAGCTACAGCTTTTTGAAATATGGTGTTTGCACATTTTGTTACACATGTTGTAAATGTACTTTTGCCTTTTTGCTCAAATCTAAATTTTGTGGGCCTTTATAAATGCAAGCAATTAAAGTTTTTGGTCACCAACTGAACATTATCTGCAAAAAACAAAATTATGTTCAGAAAAAATTGTCACATGAAAGAAGGATATACAATTGTGTGTCAAAAAATTGATTGGGAAAGGTATTTAGGTACTCAGTGGGTGTTCAAAGAGCTTAGAAACAGTTGTACAAATGCACACCAAAGGCTTTAATGAAGCAACAGTACCAATATGACTGCCTGAAAAAAAGTTTGCATCTTTCTTTGCATTTGAAAAACATAGGTTGTTTTTGGATTTCAATGAGAAATGTTTATGTAAAATGAATTTGTAAAGTTTTCACGGTTAAAAAGATCTCTCCATGGTCATGGCAGAGAAATTTATGATGGGTGTTCATAATTTTGTGTTCTCTACAAATTCTAACTTCACTTAAATTGTGTTTGAAGACTATTCTTGGGCAGAAATCTATATTCAGGTGTGTTAAGCTTTTTGAAGTGTATTAATTATTTATCAAAGATCTACATTTATACTTACTAAAGACAATACCCTGGAAAATTTGAATAATTATGATGCAACATTCACATTTTTACCTTCCAATTTAAATGTTTTGATTATTGTGGGGGTCATAAGGCTTGAAAAAACTCTTTTCAGTGGTTTGGGGGATTCAATATCCCAACCAGAGAAACAAGTCTCTTTCTTTTTTTTTTTTTTGTCACTGCAACTGGAAAAGGTCCTTGAAACCTTGTCAATACTGAACATTTGATTTCATTATTCTTTTATAGCCCAGACACAAAGTTAAACATTTCATTCCTTTTTCATTTTAGCTATTTTGTAGGGTTTGTATTCTATCACTCATGCATTTTAAAAATACTATATTAACCAAATAGTGTCACTTGTTGTTTGGCTCAAAGGTGATGATATGAGTCTCTTTTTGTAATCCAGTTATGCTACAAGGCATTATTTTTTTCAAGATGCTAAGTAGTATTTTAATAAGTATTAGAATTAATATAAAATACAAAACATGCACTTATACCATTATGGAAGACAGGTCATAACTCTAAGAAATAAGAAAGAATAAGAAAGTGATTAAGTATAGACTAGTTGTATCCATATCAGAATTCTATGATTAGAAATAATCTGTAATTCATTAACTTCATTAATTTTAAGTTTGAAAATTACAGATGAGAACATGTTAATTGCTTTTAGTGATTAATTTATTGAAAAAAAATGTAAAAATTAAAGTCCGGCTTTTTAAGTGACACCAAGGGTTCATACAAGTTGGGATAAACCAGTTGTGAAGTTAGTAAGTTTCATTTTCAAGGGGGTGGGAGGCCATAATTTTATAATTCTGAAAGTGGGTTATATGAAAGGTCATGGCAAATAACAAATTATGATATTTTGATTGCTCTCATTTTATTTTCAAACCCACACTTTGATTACAGGTCATGGAGAGCATCAAAGCAAATCCTTGCAAGGGTCTTAGAAAGAACTTTAACCCTGGCCTGACAGCACATAACTATATCCATGTAGATGAAACTGTTATCACTCTTACTGGTTGATTAAGTGATTATTTTTTTAATAATAAATGTTGAATCACAACAAAGAATTGTGTTGATTTTCTTTTAGTGACCCCAACCTGTTTGACATAGGTTGTGGGCTGAAATGTGACCCTTGTCCGAAGTTCGAATACTAGTCAGGGTCTTCATGATCAACTCCACAAACCAAAAGAGGTACAAGTAATGTGTACCTAACCCCTTAACTGTGTTGTGTTCCTGGGTGAACTACTGTACTTTCACAGTGCCTCTCAAAACCCAGGAGTTTATATGGGTACTGGCACCTTGTTAGGGAAGCCTGATGAAATGCTGGGGAGTGACCTTGCAATGGACTAGCATCCCAGCTAGGGGGAGTGGCAATACTTATAGTTGCATCATGCTTAGGAAAACAGGATAAGCTCTGGCTATAAGGGCCCCTTAACTCTAGTACAGACCTTAACTATCTTTATTTTCATTTGGAACAAAATTCTTCAGTCTAATTTATGTGAAAGTTTGTGGCAGTTAGTAGGGAGATTTACTAATTGAAGTAAATGGGTCTTGCAGAGCCAATACTGCTTGCATTAAGTTGGTACTGCAAACCTAGTGTTGTGGCCTAGTTTGTATATGGGTAGATAGCAGCTGGTAAGGGAACCTCAGCCTCTCTTTGGGAAGGAGTGAGGAATGAAGCATGCTTATGAGGAGACTGCTTTCCCTTTAATACAGTATATTGCATCCTGATCCTGAACCTGTCTTTGCATATGGGCTGAGTTTGTCCTGCTCTGGGGGTTTAACTATGGGTTCTCGTTTTAATCCCAACACAAAAACCAACGAAAAAAATTCAAATTTGACCAAGAAATAGTGGACAAGAAGAGAAACTTTGCTAATGACCCCTGCTTGTTCCAAATCATTTTTATCATGAACATTTCTAGTTCTGGCCTGGGCTTACTTTTACTGGACAAAAAGGACATCAAGTTTTAAAAGACGGTCATTAAAAGTTGGTTTAAAATCTTTTAAGGGTTGATATGTTTTTCTCAACAGCTTTAAGTTGTTTCAGCTTCTGAATGAGTCATCTCATCACACCCATCATCTATATTTAAGGTCCTTTGTATTTAAAAACATGGTCTCTGTTAACATATTTCATTTATTTTGTATTGTGACTCAAAAACTACAAATATTTGTGTTAAAAAAATATAAGAACTTTGAAAGCAATAACAGTGTATTTACTGGTAAGCCATATCTACCTAACAATCAGAACATGTTAGCTTTTCTATTTGAATTAAGTGAGATTCCACCACACCAAAATATTCAGCTACTTCCTAATTGGGTTGCTGAAAAATTAAAGAACACATGGATTTCCAGGGTAGATGAAAAAAGGAGTAACCAAAGGAAAGGTTTAGTTTAAAGATCTTGTCTTCCTTTGATGTTTGTGTACCTTTGAGAATACCTGTAATAGCAGAGATTCAAAATGACAGGCCTAAAATATGTGGGCCAAACTATTAAATTTGGTTGACACAAGTTCAAATCCAACACTCAAACCCTGGCTATCTTTTCATAACTCAGGCTAAATTAAGTGGTTTCTTCATGTCCTACTGCACTTTCATAGGTAAATTGGGGAGTCTCTAAGGGTGGAAGAGATATATCTTCTTCACAATCTGTAATTTCTTCAAGTTCTTTAATTTCTCTAAGTTCTTTAATTTCTTCAAGTTCTTTAATTTCTTGGTCTGACTCTTCATAATCCTTATCAGACTGTACATATGCAATCCTTTTGTCATTTTTAGCTGGTATATTTAATTCTGTATCATGAGAAATTGCCTCAGAGTCAGTTTCCTTCTGGCTCTTGATAAGATTAATGGCAAACATTTCATCCTCAAGGTCATAACCAAATTTGAACCGTATAAATTGTCGTACATTGTCCAGGGCTTTCCTTAGCCTTGAGTTCTCTCTGTTAGAGTCCTCCAAATCCTGACTGAGGGAAAGAACCTGCATTTGCAATTCACTGACTTGTCCTTCAAGATCTTTTACAACTGATTTTTCATCTCTAGAAGCAGCACAATCAGAAGATGAACTTGTGGATGATACTGAAAAGTTCTCTGCAGATATTACCAAGCTACTTGATTGTGAACATTCTGTATTATTTTTCCCATCAACTGATTCATTAGAAGTCTTCTCCTCTAATTTTGATGAAATTTCACTTTGAACAGCTTCCTGATTTTGCCTTTCTTGCAATATTTTCACCTGCTCTTGTTTTCTTCTCTCTTGCTCAATTTGACATTGCTTCCATTTTTCTCTCAGGACTCTTTGCTGTCGACAATGACTGTTTATCTGTAACTGCAAGGAAACTAATGCCTGGTTGAAGGAGACAAAATAACTTGAATTAAATCATTGTCACACTGGAAAACTGAAATCAAAGCTCAACTTTTCCAAAGTAACCGTTTGGCAAAGTTCAATAAGATAAAATTAGTCACCAGAAAAACAAACAAACAAAAGAAGAAGATGCCTAGAACCAGTTTGACCATAAGATCTAGTCAAACGCCAGGGATTGGCTTCTCATTAAATGGGAGGTCTGGACTTCCCTTGGAAATTTTGTAGTTTCAGACATTTGAAATTGGATTTTCCTGTGGTGTGAGGTCTATTGCAAATTATGTGCCTCCACTGATACTAGAACTCAACCAATTTGATCACTTTTGACTAAATTACATGATCATTAGGAGTAAAATGATGTTTGTATAAAAGCTACAAACAGGTAGCCAGTGTGTTTCAAGCAAGAAGATCTACCTACTACCTGCCTGCTATTGAAACTCCTAAGCTAGGAGGATTACTTAAATGCAAAGGTGCACCATAAAAGGAGAGATGCCTTAGGTAGCTCTGGATTGTTTGTCGATCAATCATTGTGACATACCAACCACTACATTCAAAACAGCTTGAGCTGCAGCTGACCCAAAGCAGGAGAACAGCAGACAGATTTCTCAAAAGCTTTGATAAGTTTATACATTTTTATCACAAAGGAAGAATTATTTGAGGTTTGTATCTCCTTTCTCTAATTGAAACCATCTTTATTTGTGGTGGTAAATTTGAAATGATTTGCTTTGCCATAGTGTAATATTACCATGGAGTAAAATGCATTTGAGCTGAAAGCAAGGGACCAATCTACTTATAGCAGGACTTCATGTTTAAAGCATCATTTTTGTCTCTAAACCCTTTAACTCCCATGAGTGACCAAGACAGAATTTCTCCTTACAATATCAATACAATATCAACCAGATAAATATTGAATATAAAGGAAATAATAATTGTATGGTTGACAGTAAGGAGAATGACAAATTTGATGTGGGAGTTTAAGGGTTAATAAGTTTTTACCTGTTTCACTTGAGTCATCTTCATAGCCTCCTGGAGGAATTCTAAATTATCAAACAAATTTCAAAAGAAAATAATTGACATGAAATCTCTCATATATTCTGGTACATAAAAAAATACTAGTTATGAAAGTATTACCTAGCAGTAACTATCAAAATGAAGCATATTTTATAATCCTTCTTTTTTTTCTTATAATTAAATAATTTCTTGCAACAACATTCTTTGGGTGAGAATAGGGAGATCACATGGATTATTACCAGAGTGTTGTGAGTCTCAATATTCTAATTAACAAATTGTGGTAAGAACAAAAAAGTGGAACAAGTGGCCAGCCAAGTGTGTCTCTGATGTTGTTACCCCATTCAAGCCTCTTCTGTAATCTGTTGTTGTACAGACCCATGGCAACATGGGATACATCTGCTTTATATGATAAAAAATAAAATGTTGTGCATGTTCACATCATCTATGCATCTTTCCTCCAACAGCTCTTAAGTATGAGCCAAAACATTTGTGTGAATAATTCTGGTTATCACATAACTCCTATCATTCGACATGGTATGTTGCATTACAGGTACAATTGACTTACACACTCAAGGTCAATCAATGCACAGTAAGTCGACGGTCACGTTGTCGTCTGTGTAACATTTTATTACTTGATCCCTTTAAACCTTACCTGATGCCTTTTGATGACAAATTATGGCATCGGCAAATTTCCTGTGGTTGACCAAAGCCTCAGCTTTTCGGTCCTGCTGGTGAGCCTAAAAGGGATATAGTGCGGTGTGACTTAATATGTATATATTTGCGACTCAATTAGAAGCACTTTTCGATCGACGTCGATGAGGCGAACGGAGACAGGCCAAACTTAGAGGACTTGTGTCCCAATAGCAGGCAAACTTACCCAGTTAAGGGGATAGTCCATGGAAACGGCTCCTAGCACTGGAAATAACCAAACACAACAATCAATCTGTTATTGTTGGCCAAATAATATCATAACAGAACAGAGTATTATGGTCGCCATTGAGAGAGAGATAGAAAGTTGAAAATAAATAGGCGCATGGGTAAATCAATCATGCCTCTGTTCAAAAGCTTTGAATTATCGCTGGCGTCTTCAGTCTCAACAGTTCTTCATGATCAACCAGGAAGGTACGGGAATATTCATAAAATAGGTAGGTTAAAAATCTACTTATATTTTTTTTATTTATATAAGAGTAACGTACATCATTACAAGTTATACAAAACACAATTTTTTGAATACAGGACGATACAAGTCTGTCGCAAATCTTGAATAAATTTGAATAAATTCAACGCAAAAATTTTATTAATTTTCCAAGCGCGTTGATATGATAATTGATCAGTTTTTCTTTTTATCTGTAAGGGTCCTGAAAAGGACCTCTTTTTATGTGCAAAAGCTATGTAGACAGGGGGGCAGGGGCAAACACTGCCCTTTAAAATATCTTTGAGTCAGTGATAAATCATTAAGGTTTACCACTTGCGATTAATTCACCTACAGAAAAAGACTCAGCCACCAAAAATTGTTTAAAGAAAATACTTTCTTTCAAATTGATTTATATTTCTTAGGGGGGCAATACTGGTTTATATTTCTTTGCGCTAAACTGGAAAGCTATAGTACGACACATCAGATGGAAATATCTCTAATGAAGGTTATAAAGAATGAAAAATGACAGAGCTTTACAGATTTTAATGGATGTAAAAAAATTCATGTCAATGATGTTGGCGTGAAATTTGGCCATTTTTGCTAAATTATATCTTTATGGTGTATACATTACAAAAATATTTTCAAAAATGTTTTGAATTTTTTTAATATATACAGTTATTATATGCTATTAGTATAATTTATAATTTTAATATACATTACTATAATATTAAATCATATCAAACCAGTGTTATACAAACAGTCCTAATAAGTGCCTTGTTATGTCATTGGGAAAAATTCACTCTAACTTTAACTTTTCCAAAATCCTGGATTGTGTTTGAATCAATGATTCAATTTTCAGGAATATTCATATGTTGTATAAAAATACTATAATTATAGATATATAGGAAATTGAAGTAAATAAATTGTAATAATGATACTATTTGTGTAAACTATATATACCAATTTGTGAAAATCTAAAATTCGATACAAAATGTTTCTCTTTTCAATGAACATCTGATGACAATGTCTATCAATTTCTTAATGAAAAACTAAATGCTTCAAAAGCCATGCTTCTTTCAGCAGTAAAATATACATGGTATTTTATGAATGTGTAGCAGATATATCATTAACAACATAAACACTAAAAGAGAAAGTTGGACCTTTAGCTTTTTAACCCTTTTACTCCCAATGATCTGATTGTTAACGCTCTCCTCTAGCTGCAACAAATTTCCTTGTAAAATAGCTGCAAGAATTTGGTGTTAGATCAAGATAACAACTTTAACCTGATAGGTTTGACTATTCTTATTACCTGCCTGCTGGATAATTTATGGATATTATAGGGAGAGGTCACATGTTAATCACCTCTGGGAGTTAAAGGGTTAAAGATATTTTAACTATAAAATATATGATCCTTAATCCATCTTGTAAATCTGCCATTAATATGAGTAAAAACACTATATTTACCAGGAATTCCACATTTAGGATTACCCCAGCTAATTATTCCTCCCAGAAACCATTTCTTCTTTTTACCTTTTGTATCTCGAAATAGAAACCCTCCCCCACTGTCTCTTTTGCAAGAATCTTTATGGTTACTAGAATACCCTGCACAGAGCATATTAGATGTAACAAGCCAAGTCTCACTCAAATAAGCCCTTCGACAGTTTTTATTAGAGACAACTGGCATGTCAACTTGTTGTAATTCAGTTGTGTTTTTTCCTATTTCTGTGACTCCCCACCCTAACATTACACCCATTGTACCAGGAGTTACACTGCGCCTCTGCTGCTTGCTGGGTAAACACACTGGACGTACATGATCAGTCATATTTGCTCTCCTTCTAAGTTTTATCAGTGCTAAATCTGAGTCAAAGGTCGTCCAGTTGAAGTTTGGGTGGGGAACTATTTCTATGCTGTCTGTACTTTGGACATGCGGATCTCCTAGTGCATAAGTAATATCATGAACTCCAAGATGAATTTTGATACTGGAATAAAGCTTTCTTGTTTGTCTGTCATATACACAATGAGCAGCTGTTACAACCCAGTTTTCTGCCACAAGAGATCCACCACAGTGAAAATGTTCATCAACAATCAAAGCTACTTGCCATGGCCACTGACCAGGCATGGCTGTGCCACCTCCAAATATCCTTAAACGGGAATGATGTGTATTGTCATGGCTCAACCTGGACTCTCCACATATGGGAAGGCAGAAAGGAACATCATCAGACCACAAACCATCATTTTCACAATGCCGTAGTCTTGGTCCATGGACGAAATATTGTTGCTTACAATGATATGTGACAAAGTGAGATCCATATTGTTCAATTTTCTTGAAATAACCATTTTGAGGTTTTTCAGGATCAGGGCATAGACTTGGTGTTCCTAGAGTAATTTTTGCAGGATATGTTATTGGACGAAATGTTGGACATGGATCTGGCTTGCAGCTTACAGCTTGTGAATTATTTCCTTCACAAATCATGTCACTATCTATGCTGTTGCATTTTCTATTTCTCTTTCTTGTGCCACCACCGCATGTCTGGCTGCAAGCTTCCCATGGTGACCAGCTACTCCATACTGCACAGGGTTTCACTTCACAGATGTTGCTTTCCACTTGGATAGGTCCATCATTGGCATCTGCACAGTTTCCAAGATGAAAGGGACTTCTCCTTCTGCAGTACCTCAATCGGGTCTGATGTCCCTTAGAGCAAGTTGTGGAACACTGGGACCAACTTGTCCAAGAAGACCAAAAAGAATCATTTTTATCACATGGCTTGATAAAGCAGCTTTTGTACATGACATTTTCACCATGACAGCCATCACCTCCAGCCTCTGGTTTGGGGTTGGTGCAAAATCTAAATCTCACCTGGCCTCCAGTACCACAAGATGAGGAACATGCAGTCCAATTAGACCACACATTCCATCCACCATTCACCGGGCACTCATTCTCAAAACAAGTTTTCACCTGCAGCTCTGAACCTTGGCAACCTTCATTACCCATGCCTCCATTTCCACTACAATTCCTGAATCTATGTTGCTTTCCCAATCCACAACTGACTGAACATTGAGTCCAGTTTGACCATTCATTTGATATGCTTTGATTGGAACAAAGTCCTTGCAAGCAGGTCCTCATTTCAGTCTGGTTTCCTCTGCAGGAAACAATGTTTTCTCTTTCAACAGCTTCATGGCTTGAATTCTTGCACTGCCGTGTCCTTGTCTGGTGTCCAATATCACAGTATTTACTACAGCTTGTCCAAATTGACCATTCTGACCATTCTCTGTGTAAAAAACAGGCATGCTGACTACAATATTCAGTTTGGCTAGAATTACCAGGACAATTGTTACCTCCATGTTGTGCAGGGGGATTGCTGCATGTTCTATTGCGTGACTTTGTACTGTTACCACAGGTCTTACTGCAACCAGTCCACTTTGACCATTTACTCCACCCTCCATGAATAGGGCATGGTATTTCTTGGCAATTCTCAGTCTGAATAGTGTTTCCATTACAGGCTTGACCTCCATTCTTGGGGGCAGGGTTGTTGCAAGTTCGTACCCTAGACTTTGTACCAGTGGAGCAGCTTTTGCTACACTTAGTCCAATGTGACCAAGCTGCCCATTTACCAGGAATGGGACAAGGTGCTTTGGTACATGATGTGATTTCTAATACCTCACCAGAGCAATTTCTTCCCCAGAATTGTGGAAAGGGATTACTACAAGTTCTGTTGCGAATTCTTGTGCCATTTGCACATGTTTTGCTGCAGTCACTCCATGATGACCAGGTTGTCCATCCTCCATGGATAGGACATGGACCAAGGTCACAGTACTTCAGATCAGAGGAATTACCAGAGCAGTTGTGGCCTCCATGTTGAGGTTTTGGGTCACTGCAAGTCCTGAACCTCATCTGAGAGCCCCTTGAACATGTCACCGAACAATGGGACCAGTTTGACCAAGCAGTCCATCTTCCATGGATAGGACATGGACCAAGGTCACAATACTTAAGATCAGAGGAATTACCAGAGCAGTTGTGGCCTCCATGTTGAGGTTTTGGGTCACTGCAAGTCCTAAACCTCATCTGAGAGCCCCTTGAACATGTCACTGAACAGTGGGACCAGTTTAACCAAGCAGTCCATCCTCCATGGATAGGACATGAACCAAGGTCACAATACGTAATATCAGAGGAATTACCAGAGCAGTTGTGGCCTCCATGTTGAGGTTTTGGGTCACTGCAAGTCCTAAACCTCATCTGAGAGCCCCTTGCACATGTCACTGAACAGTGGGACCAGTTTGACCAAGCAGTCCATTCTCCATGGATAGGACATGGCTCTGTATTGCAATACTGTTTTTGGGCCGAATCTCCATCACATATTTTTCCACCATACTGAGGAAGAGGGCTGGTACATGTTCTGAATCTTGTCCTTATTCCCCCTGAACATGATGCATTACAGCTTGACCAACTGGACCAAACTGACCAATCACCATGAACTGGGCAGAAGCCTAAATAACACATTTCTGTGGAAATTTCTGCTCCAAAGCATGGTTGTCCAGGATTTTTAGCTTGCGAGTCCTTACACGTTCTCATTCTCATTCTAGTACCCCATGAACACGTTACACTACAAGAGGACCATGGACTCCATTCGCCCTTACCTCTGCATGGCCCTCTTGTACAACTGCGTGTTTCTTGTGAAGGCCCATTACAGGTGTTTCTAATCAACCCTTTGCGAGAGTGTCGACAAGAACGAGTCTTTGTTTTCATTCCTGTTGAACAAGATTTGCTACATGGACTCCATTCTGACCAGGCTGTCCAGCTAGCTTCACAGGCTTGACCTTTACAGCTCTTTGTCTTTATATATCTCCCTTTGCAATTCTTTCCACCCCTCCCTGGTGGAGGATTTGTACAGCTTCTTGTCGAGGCTCGTACACCGGCTCCGCAAGTACTATTACAGGCACTCCAGGGGCTCCAATTTGTCCACTGACCATTTACGCAGTTGTAATGGTCATTTGATACGCGCATAACTGACGTTCCCTTTAAATGATCTGGCTTTGAACACGTTGCACGGAGAGCAGTTGAGGGGATATATTTTGCCTTGAATCTCAACCAGACTTTTAACCAACGCAATTCGCAGCTGCAATGAAACGGATTACCGTTAAGATAAACATCTATACCTCTTTTTAATCCACTGAAAGCTCCTTCTGGAATTGAAGATATGTTATTGTTTTGAAGTCGCAGCGTTTTTAGCTCTCTGAGATCTGTAAATGCGTTTTTCGATATGTTCACGATTCTGTTGTCTCTGATTGTAAGCGTCTTAAGTGTGGTCTGGGAATGAAATGTTCCTTCGTTAATGCTTGTTAAGTGGTTATTTGCCAGCGACAGAACTTGTAAAGAGAACGATCCTTGAAAAGCGTTTCCCGGAAACTTCTTGAGTTTATTACGGTGGAGATCTAATTGCCTCAAGGACGGTAGATCTTGAAACAATTCCTCGGGAATGCTCTCAATGGCGTTATTATCAAGATAGATCTGTTGGAGGTCTCTTAATCCGTGAAAAAGGAGCCTTGGTAGTGACGACAGCTTGTTGAAACCGGCGTTGAAAGATTTGAGTCGAATCAAGTCACGAAACACCGTCGCTGGAAAATCACGCAATTTGTTCGACCGTAAATTCAAGGTCATCAAATTTGTCAAATTTCTTAAAGCACTCTCCGGTATCTCTGTAACCATGTTCCTGTAAATTGACAAGAATTCTACTTTGAGAGGTATAGAGGACGGAATAGTTGTCAAACTTCCTTTGGAACCACAGGACATGAAGAATTGGCTCGTTGTGGTACATTCGCACTCTCTTGGACATTTGCTGCTTGTCCGGCTCAATTCGTTGGAGGCAACGACCCAAAATGTTAATGACAGGACAAACAAACTCCAAACAACTCTGGAAAACATTGTGTCAGGTACGGGAACCTTCGCGTGTTTGCTATCTACGCATTAGAATGACTCGTAGATGAAACTGCTGACCTGAAGAGCTAAAAAGAAAACAACAAAGTGAGGCACGTGTTATCTTCAGTGTATCAAGCACGCGTTGTCTTACTTAACATGAATCTCAACAACCAAAAGGCCCCCCACTACTTTTGCAGACTTCAAACATAACCCCCGCGCAAAGTTTGATAACTAGACAGTTTGGAGTTATTTTGGCTAAGAGCCATCAGGTTGGAAGCAAATAAACCTTATGTGGCAACCATTAGACTTGGATTGAATTTGGAAATCTTTATGCTTGTTTACAGAAGACTTGCATTAATGAAGTTTAATGTCAACTTCATTTACCCACGGACAAAGTAAGACCACGCTCCGCTGGCGTTCTATAGCTTAACATTTGTATACAGGGATTTGTTTGATTCTTGTGTCTAGATCCGCTAACTGCGGCCTTCGCTGAGCTTTTGTGCTCAGAACAGCTAGTGGGTCTCTGTTCACAGTGTCTCCGACCGTCCAAGTAGTATTGTTAACGAGTGGGTGACGATGGTAATTGCTAATCATACGGTCTGAGAATGGCAGATTGCCTAGCCTATAGCATATAATAGTGGCATTACATGGCAAATTTAGCAAATTATATTACAACTTACCTTTCTAAAACTAACATTCGAACCGGAAAGAGGAAAAAAGTAGCTCCGTTTAACCTCGATTGCAGTAAAGATATGTTATCTGGGATTCAGTCTAACATCTTATAAACCGATCAGCACGAAAGTCTCGTTAATTGAGACAGCACGGTCCGTGTATTCCCTATCCAAGGAAAGAAAGCAGCTTTTTTCTCAATTTGTTCTATCGGCTTAGCTTGATAGGCTTTAGCTTTATGGCTGAAGAAACTGCGTTTCAAAGATGCTTTTGTAGTGACAGTCTGCACAAACTGACCTGGATGACACAATAGCTTCGCTAATTGCTTACTAACAAAAGCGTTTTATTATCTTAGATTTAATCTAGAAAGTAAATTGTCAAAACATGGCTCAAGCACAAAAGAACCCCACCTGGGGTTTGGTGCACTTGTAGTCTAAACAAGAAACTCCTACCAGTTCATCGGTCAAAAGATATAAATTTCATTTTGTAAATGAAAACTAAACTCGATGTGTTGATATTGCTTAGGTGGAGGTCTGTTTCAAGTGGTCATTAATTGCAAAACATGCCACTGTAAATCAAAGTTCCCAAGCATAAGTCAATTATACTTGCGTGTAGCCTTCTTAACTAAAATCCTTATAATAACTATTATTTTTATTATTGCATGTGGCCATTTTTTGAATTGCCGCTTGGCAAGTCCATGTTATGGTGGTCAGATTTAGACACAAATAAAAGCCAATTAGGTTTAGAACACTATGACAGATATCGGACCGTAATTAAAAACTCTCTACGCTGATGACCTATTTATAAAAAGTGCTACCGAGATTTCACAAACGACATTTCGTCGCAGAATGGGAGAAAAAGTCCCTTGTCTTATTACTACTGAAATTGTCATTTTGGACCACCCACCACCTCGGGGCAGTTGGCGAAAATAACAGTTTACTCGCTACTTATTGCGTGATAATTGTTTGTTCTGTCTTGCAACATAATTACCAGGAGTCGTTAATAGTTCCTGCAGGTCATCACAAAAAAGACTATAGTTTATTCATTCCAAGCACGCAGTATCTTTCCTATGGCGCCGTTCGTAATTTGAAAAACATTCACATTCTCCCTGTGCACGTCTCTGGGTCAAGTTTTCATCATGTTCTGCGGCGTACAACATAGTGAACGAGTTTGTCTGTGCTTCTACTTCAAAGAAGCTTAATAGCTTTTTTTCAAAATTTTAGTTGTCTTCTTGCCAAGAAATGGAAAAAACATAGAAGTGAATTAATATTAATTTTTATGCCCCTAGACGTTTTTTTTAAGACTAGTTAATAAAGTGTTCTATGCACGCAACAACTCGGAAGGGTGTCTATTCCCTAAGAACAGTCTTCACCTAACAGACTCACTTGTCGCCAACTATATGATATAGTCACAAGAAGGAGCTTTTGAAATTTATGACTCGGACTTGGGTCGACTAGTGTCTTTCCTTTGTTGTATTGCTCTGCATCAACTTTGTTGAGCCCCTTTATTGTCTCGTTTTCTCTCACCCATTTAGATATTTAATCTTATCACCGGGGTTTGTAGACGGCGACACTCTGGCTTGAAATTGAGCGTCCTTCCGTTCTCCAAATAAACCGCAGATTTCCAAAATGAGACAAAGGTGTTTTAAAACAACAAAAACTTTAAAGATTGTTACAAGCCTTACAGCTTTTAGACGTTTGTAAAAAGTAACAGGTTAATCCTCCATTTGCGTTTGTTTTCAAAAGAAGGAACAGTTAGCTAATTTCTGTAATACTCCACTTCGGATTAAGTGTTAAACTTAAACTTAACTTAGTACCTCAAACCGTCTAAGTGGATTATGTCGCCGACAAACCATTTAAGTATGTGGTTCATTGCCTCTAAGAGATAACTGCCGTTTAGGGAATAAAATTAGCTCAACATCTGACCCATCATTTCATTTTCCTCCTTGACACTGAAGTGCCTTTCTTTTCAGTTTTTCGTTTCTTTCATTTGATGCATTACTGGGCCTCTTATCACCGTTTAGTTTATTTTTCAAATCTCGATACTGACCTAGTTTTCGATAATTGAACTAATATTAACCCAATAAACGGCCCTTTTTAGGCGCGTTAAGTACACGCAAAATCCAATTTCCTGTCCCAGAATAGTTTTGAAAAGAGAGTAACGGAAGCAATTCGCAGAAATTGGCTATTTGGTGTCCTTTTGCGGTATCTACTTCAATACAGTCGCTTATGTGTGAGGAAGGTAATTGTGGTCGAAAAGTAAGTGGCACTTTGCTGAGCTTTTTAACTGTTATCATCTTTTAGACTAGACATGTGTTGTTTTTGTCCCCTGGCTTACCAAAGCATGCAAATGAAAATTCGCTTTCTTTCCTAGATCCTGAGACACAGAAGAGATAAAAACTGCTTTTGACATACATAACGTACCCGCTGGCAACGGTCAAGAATAAGCGCATGTTACTTCTTTGTCAGGACTCAGATCAGATGCCCTCGTGAATAGCAGTGCGATTAATAACATGCACTGAAAAGTAGAGTACTCGGAAATAGTTGTGCATCAGTGCGAAGGCGATCATTTGAAAATGGTACTTATATGAGGTCTTCAGGAACACTGATGCAGTAGGTAACAGGTCTAACGCCATAAACTTCGCTTTTCACTTCAAGAGTATAGAAGTTTTCGACCATTCCTTCAACCTAGACGATCATAAATCAAAACGACTCGAGGAGAACGATGTCGTTCGAAAATAAATTCGTGTTTATTGTAAGTCCAGGTGATCAACTCGCTTCAGATTTAACAGAAGGTAGGGGTTGCAGAAAAAAATTATGGGATATAGTTAATTTTTAAGCTCCGTCGTCGAATTAAGATGTTAAGCATTGGTCACGAGCATGAGACGAGAAAAAGTCTGAGTCCCCTGCAGTGATTTGATCGCCTTCATACAAGTCTCTCTAATCTCCCAGATGTTATGGCGAATCTTATCTAATTTTTGGTCCTATGCACGCACAGTTTTTTCCCGTACTTGTAGCATAAGTATTGTTTGAGAGTATAGCATTCTACCCGTTCGGTCGAAATTTCCTAACATGGAGACTGCTTAATAGAAATAAAGGGGCGATCCTTTTGACTACTATTAGAGTTGCGTTAACTATTTGGCACTGCTTATAGAGTCATTTTAGGCAGTCGAAAGTATAAAGGAATTTCTGTTTCTCAGGAGTTACACGTTGCAGATGAATCTTAGACGGTTAAAAAGCGACATTCTTGACACTTCTAAGAGCAATTTTCGATTTGGTGTAATTGGAGACTGCTGTGGTTTTACTTCACAACGCTATGTGATTGGTGTAGGCTGAAAGTTTTCCCAAAATTTACAATCAATCGGATGCAAATCCAAAACCATGACTTGATCCGTTGTGTTTCTCCGTGCTTCAAGTGGTTTTCTTGTTTTATAGTTTGAATTCTCATTGGTTCCTTGCGATATTTTCACTTTTTCTGATTGGACGTTGTTGAGATTGACAAGGTTTGATCTTACTATTGACCAACTGTACCAGAATTTAAAACCTAGCAATAAGCAGGGCGCACGTCACTCATATTAACATTTTAATGACAAAGCTCACCACAGAGTCTCGGTAGCTTTGGGTAAGTCTATGGTTCGATTTCTCATGAGGACTCTGAGAAGTTTTCCATGTTCCATGCTCATGATAAGAGGGAGAAACGTCTGTAAAATTGAACTGCGATCTTCATGTTGGTAATTTGCAACCATAGCGAATTTATCTCCTTTATTATTCAACTTTCATACGTAGTGCGAATTCCGATTTTCTGATTGGCGACCCGTAATTATTCCCAACCATCCTCGTTCCTTTGTTGTTTATCTTTTCCATCAGTCTTATTGTCTTTCTTTCTCTTACCAAACCAATCCCTCGACGGTTTCCTTTAAGGTTTCGTGTAATTTTTCTTTCTCTTTTTCATGTTGAAATAAACAACTTAGTGTATCGTGACGTTAGGAGCCTAAGTTCATCTGACTATCTTTGTTTATCAGTACCATTTACAATTTTCGGCAATCGGCTTTTGTGCTGTTTTGGCCCAATTCAATTTTGCCACTTAGAGATCATCGCTCTCCCAGTGAGTTCGTTATTAACCATAATTAACCACAAAAAACAGAGTTACCCAACAACCTTGACCTAGCACCTTCGTGACAAATTTTTTACGTTAACTTGAGGCGCAGCTCACTCCACTACCTCAGACCGTTCTCTTTGTAATTGTACATTTAGAATTTGCTGGTAGGTAGGACGAAAACAAAGCGATTAGGCATAGCACTGAAAAACTCCACTATCGTGGTACACGATTGTGCGAATGTCAAATATAACTCAAGTGTTTGAATGAGCTGATTACCTTGATTCAAAGAGATTGTTGGATAGCATCGTAAGTGTTTTATAAAAATCAAGAGAGTAATCAGGGGTTCACGTGAAAGATATTCCTAACTGTACACCATACTTATGTGGTACACATGAATTGCGCGAGGTCAAATATAACTCAGGAGTTTTAATGAGCCTAACACCCAAGGCTTGGTGTAACGAGACTGTTGTAACATATAGCGGGCTTCATTCTGTAAAAATCAAGAGAGCAGTCAGGTGAACAGATAAGATATAGCTCTAACTGCACACCATACAAATGCAAGTTTTAAATATGGCTCAAAACTGTGCTTATTGCCCTTAGTGTTTTAAGATTGTTGTGTCGGTTTGTTAGCATTATCTTATAAAAGATCAAGCGTGTGCCTAAAAGAACAGACCAATACAAGCTTTGTATTACGACGCACGATATAAATTTGGTTAAAAACAGCTAGGAATTAACCCTATGGGGTCAGAACTGGTTTGCGGTCGCCACGCCTACTTGTTTAAGGAATCATTACGTCTACAGTACTATTTACAGAAGGGAAGTGCTAAGACTTCAACTGCTCTACGGAAATCGAAAAAGTGAAACAGTCAAATAAGAGCTGAATACAATATAATTCGACTTCAACACATATAGCTGAGAGGATCATGTGTAACTGAGCTGATCTTTGTTATTGGTTCCATTCAATATTGGCTTGCATATACATATATCCTATTTACTAAAAACACGATCGATTCATTACAGTGACCTCTGACGTTTTTATTTATAAAGAAAGCGGCTTTTAGACTAAAATTGTTACGCCAAGAACCATTTCCGCTGCTATGTTTACAAAAGGATTTTTTTGTGTAAGATCAGAGCATTTTTGAAAAGGAAATATCGACACCAAAACCACAATCGTAGAGCAATTTTGTAGTTTGAAAGGGCACAAGGAGATAAGAAAGGCACATGTTCCACTTGTGTTGATAAATATTGAAAGTAAGAACACACAGCATGTAGGAAATCGCAAGGAATTAAGAAGACAGAGCATTTGAAACCCTTAAGTCTCATATGGCCAGAATGTCTTGACAAACAACGGAAACTTTACTGAAAAATTTGGTCAGGCCAGTGTTAGGGCCATTTTGAACTCGGGTAGTCATAGGCTGTTCTACCCAACTCTCTTACTACTGATATCAACAGCTTTTTTTAATGAATTTGCGAGTTGAAAGCTGAAAACACCGTTTCTACTAAATTCTCAGCTAGATGTGTCCTGCATTGCATTGTTGCTATTATTCTTTGCATAGTTTTTATGATGACCCTCTAGTTATTTCTTCAAGTTATAGTTTTCAATGTATTCAACGTGTCTTACCTAACTCGTGTTGATAAGTTCAACTGTGTTACTCTTGGTTGCTATCATGCCGTGGTACACCGACCAAATTCACTTCATATACTTCTAAAGGAAGCAAACATCACAGTAGTTGCAATTTCAATATCCTAAGCTTTTTGTTGCTGCTCGAAATGAGCTCAGGTCACATGACTACCAAAATGCTTAAACTCCATGTGGTCATATGATTCTATTAAATTGATATTCATGACGCGCTGACCATGCCCTAACACGTGTAAACACTCTTTACGTGACACCTTGCTCCACCCAGACCCATTGGGCATTCGTGTTGCACTGCATTGCCATCCTGGTTAAAAGGCCCGGACGTACTGCTTCCAGAAAAAGGCGCCGAGACTCTCTTTATCGCAGTGGTTGCCCTTTCAATTCAAGTAATTTTGAATTTCTGCACTTTTTTCGGAGAGAAACTCAGTCGCAAAAAGAGGAATTTTTCATTAGAGTTTTATGACGCACCTAGTGACTTGTTGATGGGACGTAAAAATTGTCTCTGCATCGCCTCCCACGAGTTTCCAATCGCTTTATGGAAAGATTTGTCTTTCTCAATGGAGATGGAAAGAAACAGACTAGGAATTCCAATTTCCGTTCTTTAAATATTTTCTCTCTTTTACACTTTGCACAAAAATACCTAACTCAAACCAATAAAAATGTTGTAATGATACAATTTTTTTCTTGTTTTCTGCAGGAACTTGTAAATCCTAACCTGGAGAGTGGGGTGATTGGCCAATCATCTCTGAGTGCGGAGTGGCTCTCAAAGAATTCTTTCACGCGTCGCAAACGAAATTGGGAGAGCTACGATCCACCAAAGAATTTGATGTATGTCTTTTGATATAGGAGAAGGAAGGAAGAGGAAAGACGAAACTTGATCGCTGTTCTGTCAATACTCTGCTCTTCTTTCTCCGTCAAAGCGTTTTCACCTCGTCAAATTCTCTAAAGTTTAAAATTTCGAAAATATCCGATAGAAAAAGAAAATTGAAATAAAGTTTCCCGTGGTCCACTCTATATTTTGTGATTTCTCCCTTTCTCTCAGTTTTTTCTACCGAAATATTTGTTCAGCGATTTTTTTAAGAGTAAGTTCTCCATCATGCATTTTGAAAATAATTGTGGTCTGTGGCCTCTCATCAGTTTAATAGGCGTCGTAGCTGTCAGAAACTTACATATGCGTACAAATCAGTCAACAATTTTTAGTGGTTAGAGCAAAGAATGTTATAATTTGCGCAAGATAGCAAGTTACGTGAAATGGCCAAGGAATGTGATGTAAGTTCAACCTGTAAACATTACGATTTCCCACCTCGATGTCCTTTAAGATCGTTTGATGCTTGAATGTAACAAAATCCTCGAGACTTCTACCAGAGACTATCATTTGAAAGAGCTATCTGACCACTTTGATTATTTTGGTGGAAAACTGCGGTTTCGCTAACATTTGTCGTGACAAAATCGCGCGTGACAAAATCGCGCGTGACAAAATCGCGCGTGACAAAATCGCGCGTGACAAAATCGTTCGTGACTTGTCAAGAGTCTTGTGTAGTCATGCTTCATTTGCTTTCTTACAGCTCACTAAGACACCAAGATTAAAGGCAAAGATATGATTTGACAGTATGTTAACAATATTCAATTGCTTTTTCAAAGGGAGAATCCCGACTTAAATAAAAGGCTGCGAATGTTCAGTACTCTAACAGCTGGAAAGTTCTTTCTTAACGGGGTTGGCGATGAAGTGACATTCAAACTTTAATTTCTCTTTTCTTTTCGTTATTAAAAAGACAAATTTTACTAACGCAAGGTAGAATTGAGGTTTACCCTTTCTCAATTTAACGGGAAATGTGCTTAGTAACGAAAAGACTAAAGCTTAAAACACCCGCAGCATTCAGAACAATATTTGGTTTCAACGTTCCGGCTAGACTTGCTATGCAATTTAAGGCATTAATCGTGGCTTTGCGTTATTTGGGCAGGTTAACCACAACAGAACCCCTTCCGTTGATCCATTGACGTCACTGCAGAAAGTTGTTTCTCTCAAGTGGTTTCGCAATATATTGGTCTCTGTCAATTGGGGTTTTAGAACTTAACGTGGTTTGAGGCCCACGATAATCGGGTTTTGAAAACCGCAGTTTATGCCAACACTGGATATGAAATAAAAAGTAATGTAGTACCACAACGTATCTGTGTTATCTTATATTGGCGAGGAAATGAGAAAGTATAAGGGTGACTCTTCAAAAAGATACAAAGAACTGTGTTACTTCTGAATTAATTACGATCATTTAATGGGGTTATTTCACTTCCAGTTGGACAAGAGCAGGCGTCTTTTTTTGTTCTGTCAATTCAGAGTGACCATGCCAAAATTTTGTTATGCTGTGACGCGACGGCCATCATTTCTGAGCACGTGACGATCTAGTTATCAATAAAAGTTTACAGTGCGGTAATACGCCACTTACAACAGAAAGTCGCATTCGTGAAATATTTCTGACAGGCGGTGTTCGTTGGGAATATCCTCGATCATGTTTTTTTTTAATTATGACTTTTTATAATTTTTTTAGTGATTTCTTGTCTGTCTTTTTTATTTTTACTGAGAGAAATCTAAGATATCAGTAAATTGAAAACACTTGCGATTACAAATTTATACATCCTTTCGTTATTTAAGAGAATGGCAACTATTCAGAAGATGAGAGATTATGGATTCAGCATGCTTACCTTTAAGTAGTTAGTTAACCATAACTAAACACGCAGTATATTCGATCACCATCATTAGATATAGCCAAAACTGTTCTACCGCCAAGTGTATCATATTTGTCGAGCTAAAACTACAAAACAGTTATCTCACCTGAAATCGATGTTATCAGCAAATAATGGAGATATTCCAATCACAACGAGTACGCGAAATCGCCTCTCTTTTGTATCTAATATACCGATGCTTTCTGAAAGCAATTTAACTGGGGTTATTGTTATGTACGAGCTATTCGGGAGATAACAGCCGTATCACTTGCAAGGGAGTTGACGACTTAGGAAATGAGAATGTAAAGATAAATTGGGCGCTACAGCTTATCTTGGTCGCCATCTGATATTCTTGAGTACTAATGATATTTTTCCAATTGGCGAGGATAACATGATGGTGAACATTAAAGGGATCATGTCGTTATCCCTTCCTACTAGCGAAGAAAGGGGATAATTTCGAGCTATTGTGTCACAATTATAAAACGGTTATCAGTCATCACAAAATAGACGCACGTTCATTGGTTTTCTTCAATACCAACTGAGAATTAACACTGAATGCGTGCAGCTTGAGAAGGAAGTGCCGCGATCTGGAGGAAGCCGGCCATTTATCAATTACCACAATCGCGCTAACAAGCTGCAGATTTAACTCAATGCCTGTCCCAGCCACGAAGAGGACTTGAGTCTTTTTTCTGAAACATCTTAATTCGGATAATTGGCTTTTAGGAATAATGATTTATTGTTACAGTTCTTCTTACAGTTAATCTCTCCCGTTCTTTTCCTGAATTACATTTTTCTCATGTTGGCGGTCACAAAGCTAAACATGTTTGATTCAACAGCTAATGATCATCAAGGTTCCCGTTAAAATTTTGATCAAATCTTTGTCTTTAATTGTCTCAGTAGAGTATTGTTCTTTTTAGTTCTCCTTAATTCTTGTTAAGACACAACCGCACATAGACTATAGAGTAGATCTAGTCTTACTGCCAAATCTAACCTTTGGCAAGATAGCACTTATGCTCTCTTGCCTCTGGCTATGTTCCTAAGCGCTTTCATTGTTCTCTTATAGAATGTAAATCATCTTCGGCGCGCCTTTGTGAGAATGGAGAGCGACTTCCTCTGCACAAAATTGACTCGCAAATGACCTAGCTTTCCGCAGGCTCATCAGCATGGTCCTGGATACGAACTAAAGCGCTCTTTATTTCTTCCCCATGACATTTCTTCCTATTTTCTACAGATCAGTACAGATGATCGTACGAATCATCTTCTTTGAAACATTTGTCTCTTTTTAGGTTTATCGTTCCTAGGTATGTCAGAATAATAATATCTGTCTGTTTGAAGAGGAGCACTTAATTTAACACCTAAACAAGGCTGTGAAACCCCCCTGAACTCACATAACTATTTGACGTGTAACATCTCCTCGCATTTCAATAAATCCAGCATGTAAGAGATGAGGATAAAAAATCTTTCAGCTAAACTCTCCTAATCAATTTAAAGGGAAAATAAAGAAGATCCAAAGGAGGAATACTCATTTGTTATAAGCTAAGGGTTAAAGAGCTACTTCACGGTTGGCCCAATGGTGCATTCTGAAAGATTATTTTGGGCGACGTTTTTTCAAGATGTCATTCACAATCCTAGTAAATCTTTTCCACCCTTGCCCATTTTCGTTCCCTCTTTGTGAAGTGTGACCTCCATAGTGATCCTCATGTTTCCCGTGTTTATATTTTGTGGTTTTCTTCAATTTACGATAACCTAAAAAAATGCAGTAATTGGAGCGAAATTAATTGAGATACAATAAGGTATGCATATGTGGGGTCTGACAAAAAAAAAACTATTATTAATCACGCTACAATCAAAAGGGATCAATTAAAGTCAATTATTGCATTGGTTTCCTAAGGCTTTTAATATTTTAAGCTGGCAACACAGAACACGTGACTAACAACATCTTGTTAAATAACTTCTCGAACTTAACTATGCTGTTCATTGTCAGGTCGCACTCGGTTTATTTCTTTGTCGAAAATATGGTCACTACAGCTCCACACTTTATTTTAATTCTTCCGGTCGGATGCACTTTGATTAGCTCGACTGTAAGTTCAGGGCGTAAAAATAAACCCAAGAATAGGCAAGGTCTAAAGCTAACTTACACACGAGATCGAGATTGTTCAGCAGCCTTCACGTACACCTGTTCATCAATCATAAGTCAAGTTTGAAATGTCTGCTGCCGTTTATTTCCCTCGCAATGATTAAAAAACGCGTTACATATGATGTTGGAGACCGCTGCCATGCTGCCATGTGTTCATTGATTTAACTTGTTCATGTTACGGTTCATGGCCAGACGCGTCATAGGTTATCCTGGTTATCTGTTTCCACACCGGCGAGGCCAGTTTGTCTCGTGCCGTAGTTTTCTACCAACCAACAGACCATTATCGTTGAAATTCAAAGCTATATTGGAAAACTTACAGAAACATTTCTATATCTCTTTTATTTGGAAATCCACTGGGCAAAATTTTAGTAATGAATGTGAAAGCGATCTCCGCAGTAATGAACACAACCGACTTAAGCAGTAGTGAAAATAAAACCTGAAAAAATTAATTACTTTTTTTCAGGCCTTAAATCCACTACTGCTTAAGTCAGTTGTGTTCATTATTGCGGAGATCGCTTTCATATCCATTCCTTAAAAACCGCAATTCACATACACGATTTTCATATGTTCAGAGTCAAAATTTTAGCAATGTTTGTTTCAGTAGAAAGGAGAAACAAAGCTAAGTCCTAAAGTGTCTCAACAGCTCTGGAAGAATTATAGACAATTTTGTGGACTAATTTACGAAACCTGCATAACATTACATTAGAGGAAACTATGGATGTTTTCTTTAATCCTTTCACTCCCAAGATTTATTAGTAATTCTCCTTACTTTCTGACATACAGTTCTTATGATGCAAGTTTGGAGAATTTAGTATCAGATCAGCTAACAATCCCTTAACTAATATATTTTTTTATTCCCATCACTTGTCTGTTTGATATTGTATTGACATTGCAAGGAAAGGTTATTTTCTCAGTCACTTTGTACAGGCTTCTGTCTTCTTCATTATCAGACTGGGCCACATGTAAATAATTCTGTTTCGAGCTTTTCCTTTTTTTTTTTTCTCTTTTGGGGTGGAGGGGGTTAAAATTTAGAAATTGACTTCTCTGACTGGACAGTTCTGACAGATAATAATGGCCTGTCAAGAAAGAATCTTACTTTTCACCAACTCCGATCACATAATGCAGCAACCATTGTATTATAATCCTTTTAGGGAAAAGGATTGTCAGACATTATGAACTCGAACAACATTCGTTCGCCTATATGTTGTTTTACACAGCTTGCATGTGCTGTTATTGTCACTTTGCTCTGTTTCTTTCAGGAGACATGATCGACACATAATGTGCTGGCATGGCAGGTGAAATATGGATTGTGATGACAAATCCTGATCACATGACACACATGAAACAGTGGGTTTCTTCTTGATGAAGTTTTTCGAAGTTTCTGAAGGTCTTGGTGCTGGCCTCTTAAGTCTTTCTCCCAAACCTATTAAAGCACAACATAGTATTAGTGGTCACAATTTCCTTAACAGTAATAAGGGGTCACAGTTCTGAGTAGGTTTGGAAGCAATTTAGATGTAAACATCTGCTTTAAGGGAAAATGAGAAAATGGACAAATTTTGAGCTTGGTCATCAAAACAGAAAGATGTTTTTAAAATGTTGGTCAGAGTAAGTCATGAGGGTTTGTAACCTAGCCAGTGCTGATTTTTTTCAACTGCATGTTTCACCAACTAAGCCACAGAGATCTCATTAGTAACAATGAGTGGCAAAAGTCTTAGCATGCTAAACTAGTGTTTGAATTTCATCTCCCCAAGTTATTCAGGGGAAAAAGGAATACTTTAAAGTAACTTATTACAGATTTAAGATCTCATTTAAAAGACTTGTGTTTATTTGGGTTGAGTGTAGTGTTGTCTGAACTACCTACAAAGGGGAGATGGACCAATTACTTTGGCCACTCATTGTAATTAGGCCACAAACTTGGTACACTGGTGAAAAGGGTTCTGCATCCTGACTAAATTTTGAAGAGGATGATAAATTCTAAGCTCAGACATTGATAAAAGAAAATGAAAAACATTTGTTCCACACTTGTGAGAAAATTTTTGTCTCATTTCTTTGTCAAAAAATACCATCTTTCCTAATGTAATGTTTTATCAAATTATCATCATTTTGTATTTTCAGTCAAATTAACACTTCAACTTTGATTCACAATGTCCAAACAAACAGCATGCCAAAACATGGTACCTTTGCCTGTTTCTTCAGTAACAGGTCGTGTTACTGTTTGTGTTTCGTGATTGACTGGTCTATTTCTTGTAAACTTGTGAAGTCCTTGGAGTGTCAGATTAACAGCTGAATCAAGACTTCTAGTAACTGCCTCCTCATGTCCAAGTTCCACTTCTACCAAACAAAGAGGAGAAAAAAACAATCCTTTTTGTAATTTTATCTTCAGTTGTTTTTATCCCTTTACACTCAATGCCAGTATTCATATCCTCCATACTTTTTTCTTTACATTTCCTAAAGTGCTGACCCAGAGAATTTGTATAACGTTAAGGAGTTTCTTTAGTTGGTGATCATTTTCTTTCTTCTTCTAATCATGCTAGTCACCCTTAGGAGTTAAAAGATTGAATAAGAGATAGTTTTACACTTAAACAAGGTAGTTCAAGATCTTGCATAAAAAAATAGTTTCTCATACAAACCACTCCTTTTTGATATGCCAACATATAACTATTAAATGACAAAAAAAAATTTGAAAGAATGATAACAACCACCCCATGATTCAACCCTATCACTCCCAAAGTGACCAAACTACAATTTATCCTTGTGGTTTCATTGTTCTTTAAAGCAAGCAGAAAGCTAAGAAGAAGAGAAAAATTTATTAACTAGTAAGTAAATGCATGGTTTTGAGTGAATTTAGAATAAACAACCAAGAAAAAGTTCCGAAGGAAAAACCACTAGCTCCACCTGTTCAAGGTATGTGCACTTTGTGCTTACTGTGATTTATACCAAATTACATTACAATGAAAAAAAATCATGTGATTCTTTCTTGATAATATACATGAAGAAAAATTGCACATAGCTTTTCAGAATTATAGAAAAGCAAAGCAGTCAAATCACATGCAAATATAAATTATTCAAACCCTGCAAATTTCACTATACATTTAATCAAAACCATATTCAATTTAAACAAATATTTTCTCCCTTTTTTATAACTTTTTTAGCAGCGAAAAAATTCAAAGCCCAGCTAAACAGTTTTTACCACCTTTTGCCCTGTATTAGCTTTCTTCTACATTGTGCTACCTTCAAATTGCATTCCTTTTTGCCAATGAGAATGAATAAATTTTTTAATGTATTTTATAAGACACAAATCTCTCAAGCCAACATCAAACAAAATTTAGAGAAAGAAAAAACCAAATGACACAGTAAATCAATTTTGAAGAGGTTCATGAAGGAAGTACCTTTTTGTTCAGACTTGTGCTCACAGTTATTTGGAACCTTTTGCTGATATCTTGCACCAAATAAAGGTAATTCAAGATGAGAACCTCTGACTTCACTGCTACCAGAAGGGGCTTTTGCATGACTGTCTTCTGAAGGTCCCCTATTTGCTTTCAGTAATTTACTTTTAGTTTGATTATTTTCTTGAAGTGACACAGTCTCACTTCCAACTGTTCTCCCATGAACAGAATTATTTAGTCCTGATGACAGAAGGAACTTGTCAATCCTTACTTTAAGTAGACTATTTGGTAGTGGCTTGGAAAATTCTGAGAATAATTTTCCAGTAAATGGGTCAGATGGTAATCGTCCCCAGGTTCTCTCTGCCGTAATGTGCTTTTCAAGTGTAACTGAGTCTATATTGTGACCAGATGGGAGTAACAAAGGCACTGTCATGATTTCACATGTAATCGGGTCAATGAAGTCATCTGGAATGGGGTTACTATTACAATTTGTAGCAATCATTGATCTACAATGTTTAGAATCTGGCTTCATTATGTGTTCATCCTCTGTGGTAGCAGCCTTACTATGTATGCCTGCTTGAATTTTTTCCTGGACTTGTAAGGCATATTCTAAAACTCCTGGCTGGCAACAAGCAGATGGTTGTCCCCAAATTTCAACTTTGCCAATAGCTGGTACACTTGAGCCACTTAATCGTGCAATCTTCAATGCTACATGAGTAACCTTTCTAAGGAAGGATAATCGCTGAAATTCTCCTTGCTGAATATCTGATCTTCCTACTGAGTGTATCCCTTGAACAGGAAACCTTTCTTGAAACAATTTGTTTTCCATATGAAATGTTCTACCTTCACTGTCAGTAAGCCAAGCAACTTGTGTAAAAAACTGCGAATGCTCACCTTTCACAGATGTAGGGGTAATATTCAATTCATAACTGTGGTGATGGGTGACAACTTCTTTGGGTGATTGTTTCTGGCAAGTTTCGGCTGTACTTTTCTGACAATTTTTTCTTTTGTATGAGATCAAAGGGAGGCCATTGTTAATTCTTTGCATTTTAGAAGACACTGTTGATTTATGGTTGGTTATGTCACCATTCACGTGAGGATCGTTTTTTGCGGCGATTCCCGCCACCAAAACAGCTATACCAGATGAAATTTGAGATCCAACTTTAGGTTTGATGATCATTGATTCTACGTGAACTGGAAATGGAAGTTGAAAGAGTAACAGAGTTGGAGGCTTGATAAAATGAGCAGCCAAAAATCCTCGGGAATTTTCTCTTAAATCTGGGCTTACGAGGTTTTGGACAGTGTATCCATCGGAGCTAACTACATCACAGTCAGCTATGGGCTTAAAAAATGGATGGAGAAAATTCACGTGCATCTTCGAAAACTTGAGGACAAATGACACCAAGCTTATCCTCTGTAACCAAGCCTTGCTCAGTCTCAGTAACCAGGCCATCCAAAATACAAGATGGCGGCAATAGATAACCCTCTGGAGATAGCAGAAGTAGTGGAAATTGTTCTTCGTTTCCTCCCGGGAAGGTGCGTTTCAGTCGCTGCACAGGTCTGTCATCTCTGGTGTGAAACAGTGGAGAGGATTCGAAGATCAAGAAGAAAATGTGCCGTCTATTTATCTCCAGTTGGCTCAAGCTTCTCAGAATTTTCCAAGGAAGCACTGGACTTTATAAGGCAACAGCAAGTCGAACCAAGAGCTTTGATTCTCTTTTCAGGACAGCTTCCGTCATCCAGTGCGTCTTTTGTCAATAACTTTTTGCAGTCAGTGCGAAGCTGTCTCCCAGTGAACTGTCCGTTGATTGGCTGTACTGGTCTTGGGGTGATCGGATCAGATGAAAGGCGACGAGGTCAGCCGCGAGAAATAGAGAATACAGCTGGCTTGTCTCTTTTGATGTTTCCTCGCTGTGATGGCCTTGAGATCAGGGACTTCCATATTCCTCTTCGCAACAAGTATAAGAGAATAAGTGGTGTCAAATCATTTCTTCCTGATATGAACCTGCCGGTTCAGTTGGTGATAGTGTTAGCTCATCCTTTGTCTCTGGGTAAACTTACGCGTTTGACCATGGCATTAAGGTCGAAGTATGGCGATGACGTAAGATACACTATCAAAATTTCATTTTAACTGTAGTGATCATTTGTAATTGTCTTCTTCTAATCTTCATCCGTAACCCTTCAACACTCCTCCTACATCTGATCTTCCTCTCCTACCTCCCCCCACCACTTCGACAAACTACAGGCATTAATTGGTGCAAAATTTTTTTTCTTTGGAGCTTAATATGGAAATCTGCGCCTGAATGCTAGGTTGATAACATAGAGAAATGTCCAACTTTTCTGAATTGTAATTGCGCCTCGGGACAATCTCCGACCTTACGTACCCTCCTAAAGCCTTTCCAGCTTTCTTTTCATACATCATGCACACACAAGCAGGTTGTTCAGTGTTTCTGTGTTACTGTGTCACCTTAAAATAATCTTACTCTGGGCTTTTTAATTCAAAAGAACTCTTCATTGCCCACCTTTCATTGGAAATAACTTTCCTTGCACAGCAAGAAGCATGGAAATTGAATGCAATATGTTGTATGATCACAAGACCCAAAAGTGCATCAAAAAGTGGATCCCAAATCGAGAACGCGATAAAGATTAGGTCCAGTAATAGGCTTAGATGTAAACTGGTTCTACTCTTCTTCTTGTGTCTTACAAATGTGTTGTTACATGACGTTTTAGGTGGTTATTGTCGGGGGCTACAGTGACAGTTATTTATTCTACAACACAGAAGTCACGACTCGAGAGATTATTGGCCTTGTCTTAGCTGGAAATTTACAATCGTCATCAGTAATCATAACAGGAGGCACAAAAATGGAATCTACGGATAATCTCTATGATTCAATTCACAGACTTGACAGCTCCAGTGTACCGAAAGAAGACAGTTTTAGTTTGATGTTTTCATGCTTTTCAAGGGGTATCATGACGTATGGATATGAAAATGCCCAGTCGTTGGCATTTAACGATACATTTCCTACCAACCCTCTCGTAGGATTTTTTGGAACAGCAGCGTTTGGATGTGACAGGGAAAATTTGAAGGCTAGAGGTTTAAAGCCTGGAGGTCGAGATTTCTTACACGTTGATGCAACGGTGCTCTGTTTAACCTCACTGGCACTGTAACGAGTTAGTTCGTTGCGGTTTATTTTAAGTCTTCGTTCAATTCGGCGAAATGGCATAGAAAATTCGTAAGGTGGGTTTTCGAAGTTGATTAATTCATCAATGTCTTTTTCCAACACGTTAGGGTATACTCTGTTTTTCAGACGCTGTATGTATATTTCACTCGACTAATACAGCATTTACCGTGACGCCGTGTGCGGTTGTCGATATAGCTTATTTTACTGAAGAGGACTCCTTTGTCCTTTACTTCTACCCTCTAAGCAGGCTCCCGTGCAGATTTTTTCTTTTGGCAAGAAACTGTTGTACTGCGTTGTTGTACTTATTTGATAGTCAACAATAAAGGTAGATAGACCGCCGTAGCGAATTTTGACGTGCACCATAGCAAACTCGCCTCCACCACGCCATCAGTGGCAAATTGGCTTAGACGTTATATGTAGTGTCTTAATTACAGAACGTTAAAAGCAGGAAGAATAGCCAGTTTCAGTGTGATATGAAATGGATATCACGAAGATTATGACCAGTTTGCGTGCAGCGAAACCTGCGTGAATTTCGCAGACAGACTTTGGCCGATGTTAATGAAATTGTGTGAAACTTACAAGCTGAGACCAGGGCGTGAAATTGCGCCTAATACAGGCGCCAATGCGCCTAAATTTTTCACTTTGGCGACCAAATCCTGAAAGTTAGTCGCCAAATTGGCGACCAGAACGTTTCATCACAACCTTACCAAGAGATATAGAGAATTAAAAAGATTTGCAAATATAAATCCGCGGCAAACTTCCTCGTTAAGTTTGTTTCCAAAACGTAGCACATGCATCTCGAGCGATAACTAGACGCCATCTTGGATTTAGATGAGCCTGAACGTTGTATATCGTACATCCTAGTGTCCACTTTGTAGCATGCTAGCATGCTAAAGATCTTTTCCCTAACTTAATTTTGGAGGGTCTATCTAGAACGTTGACAGCGTAAAGATAGATTTTGTTTGTCTTTGAAAATGGCGACCAACTTTTTTTGAATTGGCTACCACTTTGAGGAATTTAGGAGCCAGGTGGCTATCAGAAAAAAAAATTAATTTCACGCCCTGTGAGATGTAGAAGTATAGTGCAGAATTAGGCGCGTACAAAAACGGCGAAAGTTTGCGAAAAGGAGCTCGGCTTGCCTGACAGCTTGTACCCAGCCCCAGAGAAAATGGGAATCCTCCCTGTGTAGATGGACGAGGTGATCTGGATACATTTAAAAATAAACAAGATGGCGGGTTGCGAGCATTATGTAAGGAAATGTTCTTTCCTGGCACCGTGTTGTGGAAAGATTTACCCTTGCCGCTTTTGTCATGACAATGCTGAGAAAACCCATGAACTAGAGAGGAAGAGTATTCAACAGATCAAGTGCAATCAGTGTGATAAACTACAAGCTGTGGTCTCACATTGTACAGAATGTGGAATCAAGTTCGGATTTTACTTTTGTGAAACTTGCCGTCTCTATGACGACCGGGATAAGGGCCAGTTTCACTGCGATCTTTGTGGAGTTTGTCGCGTCGGGGGCCAAGAAAACTTTTTCCACTGTTTAAGGTGTGATATGTGCTATCCAAACAGTATAAAGAGATCTCACGTCTGCATCGAGCAGAGCTCGAGAGCGGACTGTCCGATTTGCATGGAGGGCCTACACACCTCTCCTGTTCCTTGCCAGGTGTTGAGATGTGGCCATTTATTACACCAGACGTGTTTTCAAGCGTGTTTAAAGTCACAACTACGGCTCTGCCCTCTGTGCTCGACATTGATGGTTTGAATTTGAGATTGAAAAATAAGAACAGAGTCAATTTGGATCATAACGTACAATAGTTGAGGATCGATGGCAAGTGTAGCATGAAGAGCCAAAATAAAACAGCCTTCAAGTCACATTTTACCAGTTATGTGTGGGAGCCAACATTACCTTAAATGCAGATATTGAAGGAGAGATTTTTGATTTTGGCTCTTCTTTTTGGATATGTGTACCTCTTTTTCTTTTTGAGTTATTAAAGATGAAGAGAACAGCATGAATAGTGTCCTGTGATTTCCCCTCCAGGGGTGGCACCTACCTCTTAAAAGCATCTATAGGGAGGTCTCCTTACTACCCCCACGAGGAAGATTTTATTTTGAGAGATTTAGGTTAGTGAAACTTCCAAATGCAGTTTCAAGTCATTGCAAACATGCTCTCACAAGCTATTAAGCTAAGGACTTTCAACCTCAGCAAAAGTTGTTCTTATATATACCCTAGAAACATCATTTAGCAGTGCTTATTTTTGTATTTAAATTAAGGAGCTTTCAGTTTATTGACAATCAGTTTGTTTAGCTCTGTTTAATATAAATATTGAAAAACCTCTCTAAAGAAAATGTACAGAAACTTTTGTAACCCAATACTTTTTACTAGTTTGTGTGAATTGATGGCATTGTGCACAATGCTGAGAATATATGCTTATGAAAAAACCAGTCAGTAACTGGTGCAGTATATTACACTTTGTTTGGAATTATACTTCTCAAATATTTTTAAATAACTAGATTGCAATAATAGGTGTCTGACCGTACATACTGTTTCCTACCAAGACACATCAGTTCTGCAATGTTAAATCTCTTATCTTGTGAGTATAATGCTCTTTAGTTCCTTATGATCTCTAAGCAAGGCTTAAAGTAATTATTTTTATCTTTGTGTTGTTAATATTGGTCAACAACGTTTTGCTAAAAGCAGAAACATGCAGATGCATCACAATGATCTCTGAACAACAAGGCCTTTTGATTGATGCCAGTAAAATGTTGTGTTTTTTGTATGAGAAGTTTTCTTTTTCTTTTTCTTTTAATTAAAACAAGTGAGAATAACTACTAGTAGCAACTGGAGCCCGAAAGGGAAAGTCATGGACAGGACACTCAGACCCATGTAAGGCACTTACCTGAGGAAATGATAACTTGAAATTATATTTTAAAATATATATATATAAACAAACTAAACGAAAATATAATAATGGTTATATGGACAACCCACCCTATGAATAGTAACAGCAAAAATGCAGCTTGTATTATGTGTCTTGAACTTCACTTCTTGCATACTACTGAAAGGTAAAGAAATAAATTCACCAACTGAATTTAAAGAAGGGTTTACAAATATTCTTAAAGAGTGAAAAATTGCATGGTATTTTGATTGTTTACATGTATAGGTAGGTGAAGAATTTCTAAGGTAATATTATGTGGTGTTTAAATGACCTCAGCTGTCATCTTGTTTGTTTTAGCTTTTTTGTATAAAAGTAAGGTTTTAACCAATGACATTTTGAGGCAAATAAAACAGAATTTCAATTGAAAGCAACTGTATTTACTTATTTTAAAGGACCCCCACCATTGGAAGCAGCTGTATTAAAACAAATTTCACAGTTTAGAATGAATAACTTTTTCTTACATCAATCAAAACTCAAAAAGAGGTCATGGAAATTGGTATGAATGTTGATAAACTCCATTCTTTGCTTGGGTTATGTTAAGGGAAGGTGAGATAAGATTACTCCATTCTTCCGGGGCTGAAAATCACCAGGACATGGAATAAAATCATGAAAATAATATTTTTTTCCAAAACATGATTTAGTTTACTAGACTAAAAAGCATGCAAAGGAAGATTACACTGATCCATTGCCCAGACAACTTCTTTAGGACATTCATGTTTTTTGTCCTCTCAGTGAAATGAAATCACCTATTGTATATCTAACTAAACTCGCTGAATAACTATAGAAGGCATTCAGGAAAAGATTTGAACACAGCTTGAGAAAATACTGTCTCTTCTTGCTAATATCTGAGCAAGGGAGTGATTTTTCTCGCGTTTTAAGATCATCAGACGTAAAAAATTGGCAACTTTTTGAGATATTATCAGTCGGATACGTCGCTTTTAGTTATTCGAGAAAGATCGATCCCCAGGAAGCAGACATAACAAAGGAACGTTAAGACACAGGGGTCCACTTTACATTACAAGTCACGAAGAAGAAAGGGTAGAAACGCGTAGTAAGTGAACAATACAAAGCGGAAAAAGTGATTAATTTGCCCAAGTTTAGTACGATTACTCATTATTGGTTGATAAAATATTAGCACGCACTGATTGTTTTATGATGATGTGACTTCTTTATATAATTTTTTTTATTATTTTATTCTTTTAGCCTTTGGAGGCCAAGGGAAAGAAGCCAAACAATCAAATAGAGTTGCTCTAATAACCAGTGAAGTATCAATACTACTGAGATCAGTTATTATCTAAAGGCTGAGTAAAATTGACCAAGTGGCACCACCATGACGGTGCGATTTTGGAAGTTTTTCGCAGTTTGTTTTGATGTCGGTTTCTACTGCGTCACAATCTCTTGAATGATATATAAGCTGAGAGAATGAAATTCGTTTTGCGGTCGAAATTCGTTATAATTCAATTCATATGTTAAATATGACTATTCAGTGTTGTCAGGATGTTCAAAGATCGTCAACTGTTGTGGCTCCGGTCTGAAAACTGCATTGATGCTCTAATGATTGCGAAGGAAATATTAATAATTAATTGCCGGATTAATGTAAAAAATTATATAGTTTCACTTTATATTTAAATTCATGGTTTAATATTTATTGTTTTGAAATTAGTAATAGATCATTCAGTCTTCACAAAGTTCTTTAGTTTCCTAGCTAGTAACTAACTCATATTTTCCTGAAAGCAGTGTATTGATAAAACAACAACAAATGGTCTACAACAGTGACGTTGTTTCCTTCATTTATTCCCTTCACCAGTGGTTTTGTTGGATTAGTCAGTTGAGAATGACAATCAGTGGCACTCGTGATACAGTTTGGCTGGCAATTTTTGTCTCCTTCATTTGCACAATTATAGGTAGTGTCAAATTGTTTAAAATATCTGGCACCAATCTCTTGTTAACCTTTACTAGATTATAAAAAAAGTGCAACCTAGAGAGTTCTAACTTCGGTTCAATATCATTCGCTAGTAATTTGTTTGACGCAAACATTTCTGAATGACACTAAATCAGCGTTAAGTTGTAATATTTCAGATTATTTTTGCTTTAGGAGCTCAAAGCGAAGTTCACTGTTTATAATAACCAGCTATCATGGATAGTCAAATACATCAACAATTTCGGTGTTCACCTGAAGTAAATATTATCGCGTGAATTCTCAGCCTTTACTGACGTCATTCTTTGCGATATTGAGCTCCAATTTTATTGCAGCCTAAACAAAGCATTGTGGTCAGTTTAGACAGCGAATCTATAGAAGTTAACCACGATGTCTTTGTTTGCCTTCGTCACTGTCGCTTTGTTTAGATACAGAACACGTTAATTGTCAAGGACTAGCCATAAAATAAAATTATGAATGTTCCGCTCCATGGCCATTTCACTCTTTCTCTTAGGTGGGAGTATCACGCTATGTTTATGATGTTTTTGACGACAAGCGCATGAAGATAGCTCCAAGTTCCCACAAAGAAAACGAGATTTTGAAAATATGGGGAGTCGTAATAGAGTTTGTCCAATACAAAACGATGAGAAAAGTGAAAATGAAGAAGGTAGCCTGCAAGAAACATGTCCTGTTTCAAATGGTTTGGCAAACAGTTTTGCTTCACACTTCTCTGCCGTGGAGTTTTGTGGTCAAATTGCAAGACTCGATTCATCCTTGAGTCACGACCAAAATGCTTTAGCGGAGGCAAGTACATGTGAAACTCAGTCTCGACCTCCCTCCAGAGTTTCTCCAATGGAAGACGAAGCAAAACGGGAAAATGAGCAAAATAGCTCGCAAGAAGCTGCCCATCATGTTTCGAATAGTTCGGCGAATGGCTTTACTTCTCAAGTCTCAGCCGTAGAGTTTCGTGGTCAAATTGTAAGACTTAATTCGTCGGTGAGTAAAAGCGCTTTAACAGTGCAAAGTGATCTCCCTGCTCGTCCTCCTTCATCACCGAGTTCCTACACGAAGAGAAGGAATAGTGATTATGTTTATGTTGAGAAAATGCTGAAAGAGATAAACGCATCTGCAGGCGTTGATTCGTCTTCAAGAAGTAGAAAGGAGAGTGTCCCTGCCTATGAGCCCATTTTGGAATTTGCGGTTGATGGGACTGCAGAACAGAACGAAGAGGACGGCAAGGGACAAGAACCGAGCGAGAGTGGAGAGGAAAGCATTGGAAGGACAAAAAATGAACCATGTTTATCTAAAGCAGAGGAGCCGAATCAAGCTCTACTGAAATATTTCGTCACGCTATCAAGTTCGAGCGATTGCAATGATTCGCTGGATTTAGGACACATTCAATCGCTGTTACTTGAAGGAGCCTGTGTCAATACTTGTGATCGCTTTAGTCAAACGTTACTCCATGAAGTGTCCAGGAACTGGGGGACAGATGTAGCGCAGTTTTTCATCGATAAAGGTATGTCACACCTACCATAAAACCAAATGATTGAAACTAATTTGAAAAGAATTGTATCAAGAATAGATAGGCAGGGGAAAAAAAGAAAAAAAAAGAAAAAAGAACTATTATCAATTAATATTCTCTAGTCGATTCCTGTAATTATACTTGGCAGTATTTGATGATTTCATCGTACATAAATATTTTTTACACCTCTACGTTTTATGTGGACATAACCTTGCTGATATCCTTAAACCATACCATGAACTTCGGTATTCAAATGCCGTAAAACCTCTGATTAACTCATTTACCCCATGCGACTAGAATGTGAGAACCTTCATTAGTTTTAAATTGTAGTTGAAACTTTTTCAGCGTAGAACATATCCTAATAACTTACCAGCTCCCGCAGGGTATCAAAAGCTATTTGGTTGTTCTCTTACAAAAGATTTGACTGTAAAAGCGATCTTACGATGCTTATCTCATAATTGCCAGTATCTTTATCTCGATAAGGTATACCTTCTACTCTATCTATTCATCTAATTTTGAAAATCTAGTTTCATTTTAAGAACTCGTCAGATGGTCGCCATTCTTTTAGTCTTTTTCGCTCCTTAGTCACTTCTATACTTATGTGATTAAATTTTCTTTTCATCTTTTACGGGAACAAAAAATTTATTGTTCTAATGGCATTTGTTTTTCAGGCGCAGACGTCAACAGTGCCGATGATTTTGGACGGACTCCTTTACATGTGGCAGCTTCGGCTGATTATTCCGAGATGGTCAGATTTCTTATCGAAAATGGTGCTGATATTGACTTGACAACCAATGGAGAGAAACAAACTCCTCTTCATTTTGCGGCCAAAAATGAAGCACCACAAAGTGTTAAAATTCTTTTGGCTTACGGTGCGGAGTTGGAGGTTCGAGACTACAAACAACGCACCCCATTGCAGGTAGGGTCATTCTTACTTTATGCATCAGTTTTGCTGTTTTATCATTTTCTCTTTTGTTTCGCTTTGTTTTGTTTTATTTTAGTTTTTCTTTCTTTTCTTTTCTCCTTCGTTTTCAGTTCGATTGTTTGTCTGAGATTTGAGTTCGTCTTAAGTTTAGTTCGTCTTTATTTATTGATCACCAGACGGACTCATTAACCTCCACTGAGAGGTTGAAAAAATGATGTGATTGCGATATGCTTTGTCCTTTACAGCCAGCTTACGGATGGGTATTAAACATATTTAGATACAGAGGGTGGCAACAAAGCCATCCCCCGGCCATTTCTGCAATTTTTAGTTGTTGTGTGACATTTTCCTCCTAGCCACTGGACACTTAGAAGTTTTGAGGGGTTTTTTTGTCTTTTGGTCAAGTAATGGGCTACACTTAAGCTCGATGATTTCACCCCCGCTGTCCTGATTCAAATTCTCTGGGTCTTCGTCCTGATGAATAAACACCGCAACTAAAATGTTTAAAAGTTTTAGTTCCGAATCGATAGAATTGTTATGAGTCATAATATACACATGTTGCGACTGAGAAATGATATCGCTACAAAATTGCCTTGTACAAAATTGCGCTTCAAATATAACTATTGCCAAATTATAACAGTGGCAAATTTCAAATCCATTGATTTACTTTCGGTGGCAAAAAGCAGACGAAATCGAAATAATAAGAAACCGGAGGAAGAAAACCAACAACTCCATGAAGTTGTAGGCCGAGAAAAAGGTGGACAAGAACCACAGATATCATTACAAATTAAGATAAATTACGTAGATGGTTGCATGACGGTATTACATAACAACACAAAAAAACCCATAACAAACTTAGCAAAATTGAACTTTCTGCTCAAGTTTTCTTTACTGCTTTATTCTCAGACGGCGAGTTAATTCTTCCATGACCTAGAATAGGTTTGTTATTAAGATATAATTGTAAAGATAACGGTGGAGTTTGCGTAGCTAAATCGCTTCAAGTTGAGTTTAGGGTGTCATTACGCAAGTCACCAACCATGAAATCCTATACAATTATTAGTCAGGAATGAAAAGGATGCTAAACTCCAAATTCTTGATAATAGCATTCTTCTGTTCAATTTTTCAAAGCCTTTATTTAATTCAGTCAGTTTTGGCAACGAGAAAATAAGAGCATATGAAAGAAAAAAAACGAATCGGAAAAGAAGTGTTTCAAAAAGACACTATCGGCAAAGATATGCCATTTTATACATGCAACAGCTTCTGTGTTTTCTTTATAGCTTGCAGCTGAAAGCAACAGCGCTGAATGCGCTAAAATTTTATTGGAAGGAGGTGCAACAGCCGGAACAAGAGACGACAGTGGAATGACAGTACTCACGCTGATGATCACGAAAATGCCGAGTGTGGTGAGTGGTAAATGTTTTTTTGCTGTCAAAATGATCCTCGTTGAAAATCATTCAATACATCACTGCTTCTTAACCGACGTAGACTCACAATTTGGCAAGACCCGGAGAATGTGCGAGAAGTTCATTCTCGAGCAGTCTGTGTAACTTTAACCTTCTCCCTTTGCAATTGGAAACGAGAGTATGAGTACTTGCAGAATTAATGCACTAATTCACACGTCTATTGTAAGAATGTTTTGTTTGCGTAAATGGAGGGCGGATGCTTTCGCGGGCTTCAACTGTGACCATGCATTGAGTGCTAATGAAACGCAGCTCGCTATGGCTTAATTAATCTAATCTGTTTACTCCTAAACCCTTTTTTTTTCTTTTAATTCAGGCACCATTTCATTTCAACGCTTAAGCACCGCGATTGCACAACTTTGATGCCTTTGAAAGGCATAAGGTTACGCTCTCAGAGGTGATACATTCCTCGCACAAGTATTAAATAATATAAGGCTATTGCATGAGTAAAGAAGTGAAAAGCCACCAACAAAATGTATCCCCGTTGCTTAGAGAAGAAAAATTTCAGTTACCTACAGTGGAAAAGGTCAGAAAACTCAACGATGGTGAATTGGAACCACTTGACACAGCTGGACCTTGCTGGCGTTCAGTGCGTGGAACAAATACTTATCACACAGGCAGTATACTTCGTTATTCTTAAACTTTTTTTTTCTTCCTAATATCAGGCGCTTCGAGCCTTGGATCAGTTCCACGTCACAGACAGATCTCATCGCAAGCAACGATATTATCTCAACTTCTTGGAACAATGCGACCCAGATACCAAACGTCAACCAGTCAACCTCTCACCCTTGCAAGCAGTCGTGGAAGTAAACTGCTTCGAGCTTATTATGCATCCGATTTTCCAAAGACTAATTGAAGTCAAATGGGGATTCTTTGGTCTTGGGGCTTGGCTGGGGATCTTTCTGAACGTCCTGCTTGCTGTGGCCTACACTGTGCTCGGAGTAACGCATCCTACCGACGTGGCTGATTATTATTACCCACTCAGCAAAAATGCGTGGAAGATTCCCCTGGAGGCTGCCGTCGTGCTTTTAACGTTCAACGAAATCAGAAAAGAGATAAAAGAGTTTTACCAGTCTAAACGAGAAAATACAAAGTTCATAAGCTGGAGGAAGAAAGAAGTTAAACGCGATTTGCAATATTGTCATCCTCGATGGACGCAAGAAAAAAACTTTATCAAACAACATGTGAAACAGATCAAACACCGAAAGAAGACGTACTTCCAAGACAAGTGGAATTATTTGGATTGGGTGGCGTATCTAATGCTGATCATTGTGATCATACTTCACATCATCAATGTCGTCGTCGAAAACAATCAGTATAATGGATATTTCACCCGGATACATGCCTGCACGATTATCATCATTTGGGTCCGCCTGCTGAAGTTTGCTAGACCCTTCCCAAGTCAGGGACCTTTTGTAGTCATCCTGGACAACATCCTATTGGACACAATCAGATGGGGCTTTGTCATAGCCATGTTTTACATCCCTTACGCAGCAGCTTTTTGGATGTTGTTTGGCCCGGGATCCATGCGTGAGCCTGTGAAAGGATACGACAATGTGGGACACTTAGCCTTCACTATCATCCGCTTCCCACTTGTGGATAACTACAACTTCGACGACCTGGAAAAAGAGTACCCGGTCATGTCGCGCATACTCTGTGGTTCTTTCCTCATTCTCGCTGCCATCGTATTAATGAACTTGTACATTGCGTTACTGTCGAACACGTTTCAACGTGTTTATGACAACGCACGCGCGACGGCTGCAATGCAGCGCGCGCGCCTTCTGCAAGATCTTGAATCGTCTGCCTCCGAACGTAGAGTGGAGCGATACAGGGATCATATCCGTAACAGATGCAGCCCAGAGGGGAACGACTTCTTGGTAATCATATCCGACGAAGAAGAACAAAACAGGAAACAAGTAGAGAAAATCGCCTTAGTCCATACCATTGTTAGCGATCGTCTGGGAGGGAAGAAGTTTGGAAAAGTACGAAAGAGCGAGTTTGACACAGTGCTGGAAGATGTCGACTCCTTAAAACGCTCTCAGAGTGAAATGCAGAAATCTGTTGATTACCTTCATCTTCGTTTGGATGAGCTTGGAAGCCTCAATGCCCTAATCTATGAAGAAATTGCTAAATTGATGCAACACGAGAAAAAACAGATCTCGGCGATTAGTGATGTTAACACCGAAGTTACCAACGTGAACACTAACATGGAGTACAAGGTTGAGAGTCTTTCCAGAGGCATCGACTCTGGATTCGAAACTGTGGAAGCTGAGGCCAACCTGAGAAACAGTGTGCTAGAGGGCAACTTAGGCGCAAGATTTGACCAGCTACAGACAGAACTCATGGCAATTAACTCCAAGTGCGATGAACACGAATCACATATCAAGCAGTATGAAGAGAATCTCATGGCTAGAGTAGAACACCTGGAGGCGTTTGTAGTAAGTATGGAGGACGACAAAATCAAGGAGAAACCCAAAGGAAGAAAAACCAGTGCAAGACCTAAATCCAGAGCGACCACCCCGAAACCATTCCAAATGATTGATGGCGACAGGGAATTGGTCAAAGTGGCAGGAACGTCTCTAGGGAAAAGCGCACTCGATGTGGAAACTGTCTCTGACCTGGTTAGTGCTAATGGAGATACCATAGCTGAGAAGCAGAAAAAAAAATCAGTCATTATGTCGGGTCAAGCCGCGAGAGACGAGTACGTGGCTCGACTAAAGGGAGCATTGGCACCGATTCCACCTTCAGATTTGACTCCGCGTACAGAGGATGGTGAGGCAAACAAAGGATTAGAAAAAACTGACTTGGAAAGTGCTAATGGAAACGCGATAGCTGAGAAGCAGAAAAAAAAATCAGTCATTATGTCAGGTCAAGCCGCAAGGGACGAGTATGTGGCTCGACTCAAGGAACCATTGGCACCTATTCCATCCCCAGATTTAGCCCCGCCTACAGAGGATAGCGAGGCAAACAAAACTGACTTAGAAAGTGCTACTGGAAATGCAATGGCTGAGAAGCAGAGAAAAAGATCAATCAATATGTCAGGTCAAGCCGCGAGAGACGAGTATGTGGCTCGACTAAGAGGAATATTGGCACCGATTTCACCCCCAAATTTACCTCCGTGTGAAGAGAGCGAGGCAGACAAAGTATTAGACAAAACTGACTGAGCTTCCATTAGCTGAAACTCGATTAAGTATCCCAAAGTAAAGACATTTTAAAAAAATGACTTTGTCATCCCACCTTGTACTTTTTCGTAGTCCATACGCCAGTGTAAATAGAAATGAAAAATTAACTTATTTAATCGGTTCGATGTTTTGAAAGAGGCAATAAAGCCAGTAAATGAAATGATCATAGTGACAGAGCCTTTGAGCAGATATGAAGGCTGGGGCTAAAGATCGCTGTTAGGAATTCGTAATACAAATTGACTCGTACATTAAAAAAAATCAGATTTTTCTTTAAATTCCGGTGTTTCTGGCATAAACGTAGACTTCCTTATTAAGCGTAAATTTGGGAAAGACTCCTTAACTAAAACGCACTAATAAAATTTGAAAAAGTAATACATTGAGATATTTACAGCGCACCCAGCACGACATTTCTTGAAACACGATTCAATAGCTCGCATATGGGCCCGGTAAATCCGAGCATTTCTTGTATGTATTCCTGAGTTATTAGTGCAATAATGTTTGCGCAAACTTGAAAGGATTTTACCTTTGTTCGTATACATTTTTGTTATTTTAGAGACAAACTTTGCAAATCCGACTTCTAAGCGCACGTTTTTGATGCAGACAGCGTTCAGGCATCCAGTAAGGAAACAGGCTGCAACGCAGGAACCTCTTGAAAACGCCCCCTGAGATGCAATGGCAAAACAGAGAGAAACTAGGCGGAGGATTTCTGTACTCTACAAGAAACAAACCTCCTCCCTATTAGCTTTGCGCTTCTATTGCGCCCTGTTTAGTAAGTCAACGTTGGAAACAGGCGAAGCTGTGTTCGGTTCGCAATGCACGGTTGCCTCGTTCTCCGTATCGACAACTGAATGGACTCGAATTTAAAGGAATCAAGGAAGATGTATTTTCGTCGTGTCACGAGCGTGAGACGAAGAAAATCCCAATACTCTACTGTGAGCTAGGGCATTTGCCATAGGTTCATGTGTAACACGCGGCTTGCCTTTCATGGACTTATTTCCAATGATTTATCAAACCAGGTTCAATAATTGCTTAAGTATACCCGATTTATTATTGCGGCTCTTGCTTATACCTTCTCCTATAAGACACATATCTCTTCCTTACGAAGGGGAACAAACTTTCGTTTATTCGCATCCCTGAAATTGGTAACTGGTGGACTATTTACTCGGATACGTATCTTACGGTAAAATGATTGGCTGCACAATAATCTGCAGTGCGTACAAAGTTAAAGATATTTAAAAAGGTGTACTTCAAGTTAATTGTTTAACCAGCAATAAACTGGCTGTCAAGTACGGTCTCATAACAGCTTTACTAAACTATAAAAGGCGCATACAATTGTTTAGAAGGTTATAATTAGATGGGTAATGCTGACATGGTTTTCATGTGAATTACCTCAACCTTAACCTTAACCCTCATTCCTTCTAGAAGAGTCAACGTCTATATTCTCCCTACTGTAGTCTCAACAATATCATGAAAACTATTAAGAGAAATTACGTGACATTCTCATCACCACTTGGTAACAAGGTTCTTCAGTGTTTCTTTTTCTTTCGTTTGCCTAGAGTATGGATAATGTCACCCAACATATCTTTGACTTCACCGATCTGATTGTGAAACTGCGCTGTCAGGGCTCTGTGCTGTTGCTCTAGTTTTTTTAAATCTTCGCGCAACTTATGTACATCGTTCGTGGATGCGGTTCCTTTCTTTTTTCTATCACTGTCTTGTTCAGCTATATGCGCGTAGATATGATCGACCTGCTCCTTTATTTGGTGCGTCATTCTTTGTAGATCTTTTTCTTCCCCCTCAGACAAGTCGTCGTCATAGTAAAGCTCCTCGGGGTTGCATCTCGTGTAGATGAAGTTCGTGAAAGCGCGCCGCTTTGAAGCGGAAAGGCTTTTCTCCAAAGTCAGAATAGTAGTGGCTTGCTGCATAACAGCGTTTGCCTTGACATTGTCATACACTCTTTGAAAAGTGTCAGACATCAAAGCGATAAAAAGATTCAGACAAATCACTCCTGAGATTGCAATATATGTACCACAAAGAACTTTAGCCATAATAGGCTTAACTTGCTCGAGTCCATCGTAATTGTACTCGTCCACAACAGTCATCCTGAACATGCTGTAGAGAAGATCGGTAATGTCGGAATAACCCTCCACTTGATGTCCACTGAAAACCATCCAAAACGAGGCAGCGTATGGTATGTAAAACGTGAAGAATAGAAATCCAAATTTGAGTATGTCATTGATCACGTGACCGAGCATGACAACAAAGGGTCCCAACGAAGTGAACGCACGCGCATACTTCATGAGACGAATCCACAAAATCACAAGAGTTGCAGATGAAATGTTCACGTGTACTATCAGAGCCCATGTGTTGCCATAGAGATAAGCGATTAGATTCGTCGCTATGGAGGCAAGGATCATGAAGTATGCCAGCCAGTCGACAAAATTCCAGGCATCTTTGAAATAAGCTGGTTCCTGATGATGCAACGAGTCAATTTCTTGCATCAAATATAACCTTTCACCAGGCCATCTCGGATGACAGAACTCCAAATCTCCTCTCAACTTATCTTCCCGCCACTTCACCCAAAGTCTATGTTCTCTTTTCGATGAGAAATATTCCATGACTTCTTGTCTGATGAAATTCAAGGTCATCAGTACCCCTATGATACTCAGCGTAATCCTCCACCACTTCTCCTTGATTGGTTCATAAAGTTCACCAGCCCTACTTGGTGTGGTGATGCCAAGCACAGTCCAGACTAACACGAAAAACAGGTTTACTACGACTTGAATCCAGGCTCCTCGCTTTCCAAAATAATTCCACTTCACCTTGATAAGCCTCTGTATCACTGGATGCATAATCAAATCAAACTGCTTGAGTTGCACAATGACTTCAAGTGCTGTCCTGGCACATCCGCTGCTCATGCAAGTCGGTACTGGGGGCTCAAGGTAGTTTAAATAGAAATATTGTTTTCTATTTGCTCGATCGGTGGAGTAAAACTGATTTAGTGCTTCTTTAGCCTGCGCGAGAAATACACAAACAAATTAATTAGGGTCAAAATATTCAGCAGAAAACAATCATTGTCTCAGTGAGTTGCCCTTGGCCGAAAGAATAAAACCATTATCCCCGGAACCTCTCTCACACACACACACACACAATGTTTCGAATCGTATTACTCTCTCTTCACGGTAACACGCTCGAGTTACATGGAAATGCAATTTTCAATTGAGTGTCGAAAGTACTACGATATTTTATTCCTTCTGCTCCACTATCCTCTATGCCCGGTCCAGAAAAGTTGCGACACCCTCTCAACCAACCAGATGCGAAATCTAAAATCAATTGTGGCTTGGTCATTTGCATTTTTCCCGCTCTTGTGGCAGCTTACATATATTCACTTTGAGATCACATTGGTCCACGTACCATTCTCTCTTTTTTTTTTCTGATCAGACATAGTGATAAAGTTGGTTCAGTTTTGTTCAGTTACCACCTACCACACTGGGCATCTTGCTGATCATCATGACAAGTGCTGTCATACCGCTATCATCAGCCACATTAGCCTCCGCTGAGCGTTCTACCAAACATTTCGCTGTTTCCGAGCGATCCAATTCGGCAGCGACCTAACGAGAAAGTAGATGGCCGGTTATATTCGAAGAACTCATTCTTGAAAACGCAGTGGAAAAAAATCTTTTTATCTTTTTCTTACATTATTTTTTATAAAACCCACTCTCCTGATGCGCATCAAAAATGCAACTTTCAGACATAATCAGTTGGTACACATTTTAGCCCTCCCCTTCCTTCCCCTTGCATTTCCTCGAGATTTCTTTTTTATTTTCTCCCCTTCCCACTATTTTCTCATTCTCACTTTGCGAATGAGATCTCCCAACCTATCATTGTGTTTGCCAGAGTAAGTAACAATCTTATGACGTCTTGCGGTGAACATCAAAGTGTAGGTGGTGCACCAACTGATGTTGACTTTTGACACGAACTTTGTGTGATTGTGTCAATTATAGCGCACCCACCAACCGATATACATTTTTTTTTTCTACAAAAACGGATCAACATTGAAAATTGTCTCCAGTCATTAGTGCAGACCTGCAGAGCGGTTCTCTGTTTGAAATCCTTATCGGTTATACAAGCGCCACATTTCATCAACATCTTTAGTGAGGAAGTTGCATCGTTGCGTGCAGCAAAGTGTATGGGTGTCTGTAGTTCTTTGCCTGTCTTAGCATGAATGTCTGCGCCTCGCTGCACCAGGAAATGGACCATCTCAGGATAGTCCACCGCGGCTGCCACGTGCAGAGGGGTGCGGCCATATTTGTCAGCTTGATTGATAGATGCCCCTGTGTAGGAAGTTATACATCGTTTATTTTAAAACACTCCCACAAGGTCCAGAACAGTTTCCCCGTCATGATCAAAAAGGAGCTATTGGTGCTTGATATAACTTATTGGTGTAGACCTTATTTTACTCTAAGAGTGGGATAACCTTCTGGGGGTGATCCTGTAATCTGAAGCGGATTTCGATTGAGTGTCATGAATCTAACCCAAACCAATGCGATCAAGGCAACCAATCAAATCGAAGATACATATTAATGAGCCAATGAAAGCTCAAAGTAAAAAAGCCACTAAGTGGCAATTGGTGTCAATCTCATTGGTTGAGAGAGTGGTGTGAAATTTCTTGACCAATTACAAAGATTGCTTTCAACCCTCAATTTTAAATTGGTCCAACGTACCAGGCATCTATTTTGTCATCTATAGTCTCCATATCTACCCCTGAAATACTGCTGAGTTCAGCAAAGACATGTCTTGGTTTAATGCCTTCAAACTTTGGCGCGTCGCACGAGAAGTCAAATGTTTGTTCACATTTTAAGTTCTTATGAAGCCATTCCACAAAATAAATCTTCATTATGAACTGAACTTTGTAGAAAATGGATAAAAAAGCTGATATGAAACTGAAAATAATCACATTAGATTACATGCCGAGTTGTGCGGTATTTTTTAATTTAATTGAGTACCATAGACGCCTTCCTTTATTTGAATGTTCGGCACAAGGAGATGACCATTTCAGTTTCTTTGCGCGCTCGGAAATCTTCAATTATTTAAGAAAGCACTCGTCTATTCCCTAACGCATATTTTAAGCCCTTGACGAGCTTAAGTTTACCTGCGCCTTGCCCTTAGGAAAAGCTATAAACTTTTGTTAAGTTGACTTTGTGTTCAACAAACCTACGGTCCATCATCGAACAACAGCTCTTAGAATCAATTTTAGCCGAAGTCTTCTTAGATATAATTACTTTTATAGGGTGATGCACGTTTTAATACGAGGACGTTACTATATGCTCAGAGTAGCTCGTTCGGCTTACTTTGAAGTAAGGTTATGTGTAGATTATGTGCAATATGACGGAAGCCGTAAATGACTATTACCATAAACAAAAACCATAGTGAACAACCCAGTGATGTTCAAGGTGCAAAGTGAATTGATATATGAATATCATAAAACCCTCTCTGAAACATTTTCTTTGCTAGAGACTTAAACGATATCGGGCTGACGTTAGAGACACGACGCTTTTGAAATAATACGCTTTAAAACCTGATGAAACGAAAACGTTGTTTGTGTGAAAAATGTTCAGAGAATTTAAGGGAATTCCTATACATAGCAAATATTTCCCTATGCCATCATTAGTATGGGGTATGAGTTTTTCATGAGTAATATTTTGTTGTTGTTTTTACTTCCCTTGAGAAATTTTTGGTGGGAACGAAGACATCTGCGATTACCTGCAGATTATGTTTTCAACGCTTTTAAAAGTGCTAATTTGTTTTTCTATTTACCCTATTAGAAGCTGCCATTTAACTGGCTACCTATACAATTTGTTTTTTTTGTAATTAATATTTCAGGAAAATGGAAAAAAGAGATAAACGCAAATTCAAATTTCTAAAAGCAATAAAAACGGAGCAAACCGTACCTGTTCTAGGTAAATGTTTACTTTGGAAAGTTTGGAGTAAGAATGTTTTGTAAAACTACAGACTACGCATAGGTTTGAATTAGACTGAAAGAAAGAAATGAATTATTGCGCGGCAAAAATCGCGCCAAAAAGCAAATGACGGTCAATTGGTGCCTAAATGCAAAGTGAGTCCATAAAGTGAGCTAGAGTGTATTAAAACAATAAAGACATTTAAAACTGCTCCATGTCAATTTTTTCATGAGTTGTATTCGAACATCTGCTCCCAAAAAGTAGTTCTAAACCTCTAATAATTTTAGAACTATATAATTCCTACTGCGCAATTTGCAAATTTTCTTTGCGAAGTTAAAATCTGACACCATTTTAAAAGAGCGTAGATTTCTAAGTTACTGGTCGGTCAAGAATTGTTTTGGCAGTTTCGGATCATTTGAGATGCCACAATGTACCAGTGTTTATGCATTTCTTTCCGCTCAACGCTTATGAGAAACAGTCGGTGGTAATAATTTTCATTTCCTATCATATGTTAGCTTATCATTTGACTAATTCCAATTTACTTAGAATAAATGATAAGATCACGATAAGAAAGGAAAATCCTGTCCACCCTTTCAGTGCTTTGTACATCACGAATACTTTTTTCTTTGTCTCCATGCAAATAAGGAAATATTTGGCGTTCCTCGCGCTATAACATAGAAGCCCTCTGAAGATGTATAGTTACGTGCATTCGTGAGAACAGCTTTTTTGAAGAATCTTTCCTAAAATTTTCAGAAATTAATTAAAATGCGTCTGAAATAAAGAGCGCTTAGAAGAAAAATGCTACCTCAACCAAAGCCACAAGTGATTGCAGCACTGAGATAAAAATTACTGACGTGACTATATTTGCAAAACCAATAATGACTTGTACATATCTGCCTCCCCATGTTTACGAGTAGTTTTAACGATTAAAAGCAATTTAAAAATTTAGACGTTAGTCCACCAGACTATTATGCACTGAGTTCAAAACCCTTCAAGTTATTTCTCTCTTACCTCGTTCAAGTAGTAACTTAGCAACGGACAAATCCCACTGCCTTGCTGCCTCGTGCATAAGTGTCTGTCCATGACGATCCGCCGTGTTCACGGAAGCGCCATTCTGAATAAGCGTCTCTACAAATTCCAAATCGATTACCTCTTCTTCACGAGTTGACGCGGCCAGCTTGGCAAAATAATATAACAAAGCCCGGCTGGGTGAGCTCACAGCTGTAACCCCGCCATCTTTCCTATGCCCCTGGTGGATGGAGGTTATTTCCACTAGTTCTTCCAAATCACTCAACTGCGCCGCGTTTATACGTTGATGATTCTGTCTTTGGCTTTCGCGAATTGTCGGAAAGTCGATTCGCGCTTTTTGATGCTCACGCCAAGCTGCTATATCGGCTCGTCTCCTGGCATACTTTCGCCATTTTGACACGTTTAACTTAGCTTGCCCAGCTGATTTCAAGGGAGAAACCATACGTACTTTTTTGTATAAGTTAGGGCTTTCCTTTTCTTCAGCGTTCTCAGGCGAACAAGCTTGCGCTCCTCTATTCTCCTCAACAGTTTCATCTTCCTCTGTCGCGAGTTGAACCGGAATCACCTTGTTCTTATTTACTTTTCCATTTGCCGTCATTTTGTCTCGCTTATCGCTTGAAGTCAGTTTCAGAAGCGTCTATGCTAATGATCCTTTTCAAGTTCATCTTTCCCGCATGTGGTGGCTCCTCAACTTGCTCCTTCTTCAAACGTGAATTCCCAGTACAATTGTTGGTTTATTTGCCCACAAGTTCTGAACTATGCCAATTTTCCGAGTCAGTGTTTATGCTCTTGTTTTATGACGCCGAAAAGAAATATCAATAAAATTAATACTAAATTGCCAGATGCTAACTTGTTCAAATATAACGACTAATAAAGGTAAGTTATAAACATAGACAAAAAAACTATGGAAATATGCGTTCACTTACCTGACTTACTGTTTGTATAGCAACCTCAGACCTATTTACGACGCGAGGCTCCTCGTTATGACGTTAAAATGTTAGAAGATGCACGCCGCTTTATATCTTGCTACCTGCGACTTCTGTCACTGATGGAAATTCCTCAATGACGAGAAGTTTTAAATTAATTGTAATCTTTTGGGAGATAAATCAACCATGCGCGCACTGTTTGTTTATCTCGCCGAAATGAACTTCTCAAAGTGATTGGTTTAATAAGTGCCTCCTACTGATCTCAAATAATAATTTCTGAAATATCTCGTCAATAAAATTTCACGTTTTTTTTTCTTCAAACATTGAACATCCGGTATAATACTCCTTACCGTTGATAAGTCGCCAAGTTTGTAAGTTGATTTCCTTGCTCTGCTAAAATCATCGAGAGAAAATTAATTTGCAGTTAATTTTTCCTGTCTAAGATTTTTAAACGTGTAGGTCATTTGTTATTATAGGTATGACTTAAAAGCTTCGCTGCGGTTTGGTAAAACTAATTGAAAGACCCTCCTGAGCGACAGGTGGAAAATGGAATTGGAGCCCGCGATGTTACCTGTGTATGTTGCAGAACCTTTGCCGTGGGTTACATGCGCTCACATTTCGCCCCACGTGCAAAAATAACAACATGGCGGATCAGGTTGAAGAAAGTAGCTCTTTTCATGAAATGGGTTTAGACGATCGATTGGTCAAGGTTACAAATATTTTCGCGATTTTATAAGGAGCCAGTTGTATTTATATCCTTACGGTTTCTTCTGTTTTGTTTTATAAGGCGATTGCCAAGCTAAATTGGTCACAACCTTCACTGATCCAGGTTAGTGCTTTTTTTATACAATATGTTGAAAATCTGCATAAGTAACGAGCAGGCATTTTGTCTTGTTCCATTTTGCTTTTATTCTTCTGGGACAATTCTCTTAACAATAGACTCTTATTCTATAGGAGAAGGCCATCCCTTTGGCCTTGGAAGGCAAGGATATTTTAGCGAGAGCCATGACCGGGTCAGGAAAAACGGCAGCGTAAGTGAAGTAGTCTGTAATTGTGACCCTCCATGGGAAAACGGACACTAACGCTTTCCCGTTTAAACTGCGAAACCGTTTGCTATCCGTTTAAATCCGTCTAAACGGTTCATGAAAGCGTTGAAATGGTTTGCTCATCCGTTTAAGAAAGTTTGCATCCGCTTAACACTGAAGCAAAAACGTTTAAACGGTTTGCTTATCCGTTTTAAAAGAATTATTTCCGTTTAACGTTCCAAGGAAAACTTTAAACTGTTTGTTTATCATTCTGTTACGGGCAATTCGAAGTACCAATCTAACGTTCGCTCGATACTCACCGGTTCTTGAAATGCGGAACGACCGTATCTTACTTTGGTTTTATCTTTTCCGGGATTATAGAAAGCGAGTAATCGTTCCATCCTTGGACAAACGAGTTAAGTTTAAATATCTGTTTGTACAAATGTAGAGCATCGACAGCCAATGAAGCCATTTATTTGACTATGATCCTGCCATCGATCTTGTTTGAACAGTGCACCTATTCTTGTTTACAGATTTAGTCAAATCGAGATAACCCTGTCTTGATTCCCGTGTAGTGGTTTTGCTAAATCGGCTACTCTCTATCTGTTTATATCATCTTGATTCATCTTTCTTGGTTTTATTGACAATTATTTCAAGGGTCCTGCTTGGTGTGTGACACCGATTTGACCTTTTATTTGCAATGGAAATTCATTGCATATTTGACCCTAAGGTGTCTCAGTTTTTGACAATGTTGCGGCATTGCGTGTGCAGATGATTTTTCGTGAAACTTGATAACAAAAAAATATGACGTTCATTTTCAAAAATAATATGAATAAACAAAGGAGGAGATTATGAGTTTGTCGCAGAGGCTGTTTAGGATATTTGCCAGTGAAACTATTCTTGGTAAATTGCACTTATTTCATGAAAGTCACACGAAAATGGCAACAGTTTACCCAGAAATAAAATGCGGAAGTGTATCCTAGTTATTATTTTTTAACTTATTATGCTCAATGTTTTGCTTCAAGATAATTATCCGTCATCACTCAGAAAGTTTTCCACAAAAGATCTCACCAGCTCAACCACAACCGCTTAACATTAATTTTAAGTTCCAGTCTCCAACAAAATAACCATAATTCAAATATATTCATGAATGAAAACAGTGCCTTTGAATTTTCTCAATTAAAAATGAACCCAATCATACTTCTAACACTGTGTCCGAATGCATGCATTGTCTGTCCAAGGCCTAACCATGTGATCAGGCAGAGTTGTTCAAAGGCCAGCTTATATGAATGATTATGTTACTGGGATGTAAACAAAATTAAAGCTTTCTATGTTTCTGTTTCTTTTATCAATATAGATATGCAATACCAGTTATACAGAGAATCCTACAAGATAAACAGGTTTGTTGATTTCAACATTAATTTACAACAGGATTCTCTGTTTAGTATAAATGAACATCCAGGCCAGAGGTATAAAGAAACTGTTCTCTCTGGCAGGCAAATTCATCAAATAGTGGTATAAGATCTGTTGTACTAGTACCCACCAAAGAACTTGCAAAGCAAGCTCATCAGAACATTAAGGTATGTACATGTCAAAAATGTTTAACAGTACCTGAGGGACTAGAAAATCCTGGTTTTAATATGATATGTACTTCTGGCAAATTGTAGGTTTTACTGAGAGAATATTATGTTAACATTGAAAACAAGATAGAGTATTTTTATACAATGAGAGATTTTTGACAAGAATCAAAACTTCTTTAACCCATGTTATTTTTTTTCTCTCATTGTAGGAATTATCCTGTTACTGTTCTCGTGATATCAAAGTTGCAGATGTTGCACAAGGAAATCTCATTAGTACCAAGTGAGTATTACCTATATTTTTGCAAGGTTTTGCAACATTTATGTCTATCTTTTGCTTGGTATGTTGTGCAATCTCATTGAAATTAAAAAAAGAGGTAAGATTCTTATTGGTTAAGATACTAAGATGATTGTTACTCTCCATTAAAAGTCCTGATAATTTTGATCACTGAGAGTCAAAAAGTCTCCTTACATCATTATCCCTGATTAAAGCATTATGATAAGGATAAGAATTAGTGTGTATATTGCAAAGTGGCAAAGATAAAATAATCTGATTTCCACACGAGTCTCAATTAAAGCTGGTTATTGTCTGTAAGACAACTTCTCACCATCTTCTGTTTAGCCTGGAAGCAGGGTCTCTTTTTGGGGTCTCACCTTATCACTCAGCCACCTATTACTGCAACACCATTGGCAGCTGCTTATGAAAAAAGTTATTGACATCTCTATATCATTAGGAGAGCTATAAAACCCCAACAGTCCCTGTACAGACATGTGACTGTTCCAAAGGATAGCGTAATAAGATGTAGCTTGCCAGCAAAGTCTTGAGTCAAAATTAGCCAAAATGGTATCTAACAAGATACTATCAAGGAAGGATTCTAAGACTGTTAAAGATTACTGAGAAGAACATTTTTAACATTGTTAGAGGGTCACTGGCCACCAAAAAAGTTTTTTCAGTAGTTTTAAAATGAAACATGTCTTTGTTGATAGATAATTTTACTAAAAAATATTGAAAATTTATTTGTATTCTTAAAGGTTATGAAGTCAGATCAGGGTATACTGTAGCTTTTTCGGTTTGGTAGATAATTTTACCAACAATTGTTCATTTACAATTTGTATTCCTGTACATTGTGAAGTCAGACCTAGGTATAGTTCAGGTAGGAAGTATTAACTTTATGAGCAGCTGTACTTTTATTCAGGGAGAAGATAATAATTGTATCAGTGCACATTATGTGAAATTCGTTGGTTTCTCATTTAGGTCACTTTTGATGGAGTGTCCAGATATAGTGGTTGCAACACCAAGTGTGCTACTAGGTCATGTTCAAGCCAAAGTGAGTGTATTTATTTATTCATCTATAACTGTCAGTAAGAGCTAGTGTTCTGCAGAAATTTTAAACTGCCAATCATAAAAAATAACAGGCAGAGGTTAAATTTATTTCTGATCAAGACAGGTTTTGACTGTGTTGTCTATTTAAGCTGCTGGAACTTCAGTTGTAAGTGAAAATGCTGGCTGCTAGGCTTTTTGGAGAATACGAATAATAACACTCTGTAACTACAGTTGATACTCTTCCCCTGTGCTAACAGATAGCTCATGTGCAGTAGACTTTTGATCATACCCTGAATCTTGTTGTCAGCCATGCATGTACGTATTTTAAACCCTACATTTTAACTCCTTCTCCTCTACTGGTGACAGCTGTTATAAGCAATCGCTTTCTTTGTATTTCCTTACTCTACTAAATTTCCTTACCCTAACTTATGCACGTGCTGTCAGCTGTTCAATGGACAACCAATCATAGGGGAACACCCCAAGAGATTCAAGTAAAGTGTCCATCACTGAAGTGACCAAAAGAGACAAAAAGACCAAGACACATACTTTTTTCTTGAGTGCTTGATTTATCACACCCCTCAGCTATTTGAATCCAAACCTCAGAAAGAAAAATTTGTCCTATTTTTGCCAAGACAATTGCTTATTCCTGCACAACATTCAAAGAAAAATAATTTTTTATAATTTATTTGCGAAGAACTTTCCAAACTTCTTTTCTTGTCTGTTATATTTACCTACAAGAATAATTCTTTTAAGTCACAGGTCACCTTTTTTTGTATGTAGCATGCATACAAATACATGCATATTACAATCAGAAATGATTCTTGGGTGAAGTTGGATTGTATAGGAAGAATTATTAAGTTACAGGTTCTTTTATCTGCCCAACCCAAAGACTTATGCAGATTCATTTAGCACACTTACCCTTTTGTTTTTTCTGAGAGGAAAAACATAACAGTTGTAGTTTCAAAACAATTTCATCCCTACGAAAAAGGAAATTGTCAGACAACAAAGAAACAAATCCGAAAACCTTTGGCCAAAAATTAATTAGCAGTACTTTTGAGTTATTTAAAAAATGACTCAAAACCCTTGTTTGAGATATTTTTTCTTCACTTTCTATCATTGTTATTTCAGAATATTGACCTTAAAGCCAGGCTACAGATGTTAATTATTGATGAAGCTGACCTTGTGTTCTCATATGGCTATGAACATGATCTCAAATCTCTACTGAGGTAATTGCTACAAGCCATGTTCACTATATTGAAAAGTAGAACTCCAATAACTTTTCCATGCTCAGATGAAAATAATGGTATTAATGTGTTGATTGAAACTTGATGTCTTTGCAGCCATTTTCCAAAGATTTATCAATCATTCTTAATGTCTGCAACTTTAAGTGAGGTGTGTATTGTGGGTCTGCTTATTACTTGTTAGAATAACCTAAAAGGATTTTCTCTCAAGATTTATTAGTAATAAAGTAGAGTAAAGTAAGATGGGAATGCATGTATTCTCCTTCTGAGTAGATAAAATATGGAAAAAATAGTTGGATTATAAGAAAATATGGTAAGCTGGATTAAAATTACAGAATGTATAGCTATAATGATATTAGCACTTTTTACTAATTACCAGATTGTTAAAGAAAATATGTACCAGAGCAAATGAGATTGAATACAGTTCATGCACTGGGACTCAGATAGCTGAATGAATAACAATTATTTATAATTTATTATGGCAAAGATGGAGCTTGGAGCACTGAAATGTCAAGTGCCATAGAGAGTAAGAAACTATCATTACAAATTGTTTCCCACTGTGATAAGTATTTTAAAATTTATCTCTATCAGGATGTTACTGCATTGAAGAAGCTTGTCCTTCACAATCCGGTAAGTGTGCTTACTATTTCTTAGTTTTTTTTGTTGCTGTTTATCTAGAGCAGAATGTAAATTCAATGTAAAAAGAAAACTTGCTTACACTGGAACAGCTTAAGCCTGGAACTCAGGAATTCCAGATCAAAAGAATCTTTTAAGAATATTTATGGGAAAAACTTTTTTGATATGCCACAGAAATTACAACATTTTGTAGTTTAATATTCAATTTATCATTAGCTTTTAATTCTTGTTTTACACCTCATATTCCTATTATCCTATTTTATCATAATTTTAGACATTTTTAAACATTGATACTCAGACATATATTGACATTTTGTAGTTTCATTTTCAATTCATCTAGCTCATAATTTTTTGTTTACACTCTCTACATGTAATGTCTTATTTCTGTTATGATTTTAGATAGAAGGCCACAAGTTTGTCAGTTATTTTAACTATTCAGTGCCACCCTTTTTAAATAAAGTGTATTATAATTATAGTTACAATAATTATTATTATTGTTATTATACAGCTGAAGACAAAGGTGCTTGCCAATATCTTTTAGAGGTCTTGAGCTTTAGTGAACCTCATGTGTATTTCACGTGTAACCTCTAATCAGCCTTATTTTTTTCTGCTAAAAAAAGCAATATGAGAGGGCTTTAAACATAGGCATTTATGCAAGTTTGTTGTGTCATTACAAATTAATGTACTCTTTTAAATGTGTCTGACAGGTCATTCTCAAGCTTCAAGAGTCACAACTTCCGTCAGATGACAAACTTACCCAGTATTTTATAAAGTATGTTCAATCTAGCAACAAACAACACTATACAGTCATGTAACTGTACAAAATGTAATCAGATAATGCAGAGACAATTTTTTTAAATATGTAAAGAGGAAAGAGGAGCTGATTTTTTCTGCGCTGAAGGTGCAAAGCATGAAAGAGAAGCTAAGTTCCTTTCTTGCAATCTCCCAGAGGCACCTTTGAGAGGTTCACATGTATCATTGTTTGCACATTACAGTACATGAACAGTTGGCTTGTGGTACACTTTGTTGACAGGCTTTTTGTACATGTAGTTGGTTAATTTAGATGGTCAATGATAAACTAATACATTTTATCCAAAACTGACCTTTCAAGCACAAGCCCTAGTTGGTTAATAAAGTAGGGGGATTGCAGGTTGTGTGTGTTTTTGATTGAAATTTTTTTTTTCATTTTTTGTTTTTGTTTTGTTTTTCTTATTTTCAGATGTGAAATGGAGGAAAAATTCCTCTTGATATATACCCTCCTCAAATTAAGGTAGAATTACCTGGTGTGTGTGGTTGAGTTTTTGCTTTTTTCAGGATCTATGAGTAGTGTTTGTACAGAAGGAATTTTTAGGCCAGTAATTTGTGATTGGCTTTTTTTTTTTTGATAGGCTTGTTCAAGGGAAGACAATTCTGTTTGTTAATGGTATTGACAGATGTTACAGGTAAATTATGCATGGAACATCTTTTTCACTACATACTCATGAAACTGAAAGTTTGTTTGCCTTTTAACATGTAAAGAAATGTATTACAGACATGATTTTATTAGTAGTAACTGTATTAAGTGGTGTACATGTATGCTGACAGCACTCTTGTTTTGCAGACTTAAACTATTTCTTGAACAGTTTTCAATCAAAGCCTGTGTTTTAAATTCTGAATTACCTCATAATTCAAGGTAAATATGGTAATGTATATGTTGTTATTAGAGGTGTATTCCACCACTCCAGCTTCAAGTGTAACTTATTGCTGCTCAATCCTACTAGATACCCACAGAGAAACAATTGAAGTCAAACAAAACATGATTAACAACAGTAACCCCAGCTCTCAAGTGGGACACCCACAGGGTTTTTTGCAATTGCAGTGTGGTGTTTTTGTCAAGACTACTGACGAGTTAATCCAGTTTTCGCTAGAGTGGAATTCAATTTTGGGCATACTGACCTTTAGCCACAATACCTTCTTTTGTCATCATATGTTCAGTTTTTGTTTTATATGACTCAATTAAAAGCACCCTGAACCCTTACTCTTTTGACCCCTAGAGTGACTGGCTTCTAATATCTCTCAATAGTATCACCCTTGAATGAAATGTAAAGGTTGTTAGAATAAAGGAAATAATTGCCAATGTTATAAGCTCTTGATTGTCAAAAAAGTTCTCATCATCAGTGTCATAGGAAATGTAAAGCGAAATGTGTGGAGAATATGAATTTTAGTGTTTGGGTCTGAGGGGTCAAACCCCCAGATTTGTTTTGTAATCCTCCCTTATGGCTACAGAGTATTTTCTTGTGTATTTTCTTTATCAAGACAACAACCTCTGGCTGATCAGTTTGTCTACTCTCAGTACTTCTTTTCTGAATGATGTATTGGAATTGCAAGGAGAATGTTCATGCCAATCACTCCTGGGAGTTAAAAAGATAAATTGTCTACTGGGGTAACACATCAAAATTTATAGCAAACTGTATACTCTGTCAAAAAACACAATACACAAGTACATGTAATGACTCTAAATCAGAGATCGGTGTGGTAACCACCTGATTAGTTATCAGATATTTACATGTAAGTATATTCTTGTTGAGCAAAGTGTACCAAAAATATTTTTGACAAGGCACATGGACAGAGCAAACTTAGAATTTAACAAATGCACTTGTATGTTGTGTCTCATTCAGATTACATATAGTAGAGGAGTTCAACAGAGACATTTATGACTACATCATTGCATCTGACGAAAGTGTGTTTGATGCTGTTGCTACACCATCTGGTATCCTTTTTAGAGATTAAGTGCAACAAAACTCGTATCAATGTAATAAGATGATGAGCTAATTTTATTTCCTTAAAATCTAAATCTGCATTGATTTAAAACTTTCCATGAGAGAAATTTACTCTATGTGTGTGTTTGTTTTTTTTTGTTTTGCAATCCACAATCCAAATTTTTCAATAGACTTATTGTGTTATTGTAGACTTGGGGCAAAAATGATTATGTGAATTTCAGTAATTTTCATATTGACCAGTCTGCTCAATGCAAAGCAAACATTTGCAGTGCAGAAGTTTTTAGGTGTAATTGGCTGGTGTGTGTAAGGCTACTGTTACTCCCAGTCTTGGGAACTGGTTTTCAAACTCCAGCTGATGTTAAAAAAATGTTGCCTCAAGTGTTCAAGATTTGTTTCCTTTGACTTTGAAATCATGTGAACAGCAAATGTTAAGAAAAAGAAGTGAGTATACTGATGTGATTCTTTGTCAAAGTATCTCTTTGTTTTAGGAACATTGAATACTTTTGATTCTTTTGCACAGATTTTCTTTTGCTTTTAAGCTTTACAAAAATTTAAGATGTACTTGAAATGTGTGGAATGAAACATTTTTACATGTTCTACATTTTGTGTATACTAGACACTGTTCAAATCAATCCAGTTAAAGACTAAATTTTGACTATTTCAGAGTTTGTCAGGATATACTAATGTTTCCCTTAAGATTTTATCAAAACATATGTCAATCTCATCAATATACTGGCAGTGCAAAGCCACTTTTTTTTCCTCATTCTTTTGAGAGAAATTTTGATTACTGCATTTGAATTATTTTTCTTGATTTTCTAAGTTTTACTTGGCTTTTTGAAAACCCTAACTGGTTATGTAGGAAAATTCAAGTTGATTGGCATAAATCAAACTTTCAAATTTGTATCCAGTGACTGAAATCTGTCTCTGCGCATATTTTGTTCCTTCAGAAGAAAGAAGGACAAAGAGTATGGCGTGTCTCGAGGAGTGGATTTTCAAGGTTTGTATTTAGATTAAAAGAATAAGAGACAAATCTGAACTCCCCCTGAAGAGAAACTTGGGAAGATGTAGCACATTGGGATCCTGATTTGTGATTGTCTTGTGTTCAAGGGCAAATGCAGATACACTTAAGTTACATCTGAACTGTCAGGGAAACTATAAATGGATTGCTAGAGATAACCTTCTCTGGACTGGCATCCCATCCAAAGAGGATAGCATTACCCCTTGTCTAGGGACCTAGGATAAACTCCAGCAACTAGGGACACTTGGCCTGAGTGATGACTTACTTTAACTTGAATAGAAACAGTGAGTGATGTGCAATCACTGAGGGTTAGCACACTGGACTCACCATATCCGCTGGATAGCGATTTATCCTTTTTACTAGTAGGTCTAGGAGTATAAATGGCTGCTACAAAGACAATTTGGTAAACATGACACATCACTCAGAGTCGTTTACCCCCAGTGGACTAGCATCCCTTCCTGGATGTCAAATGAGAAACTTTAGCCCGTTAATTTTGCTCATGCTTTTTAAGATTTGCTTAGTCAAGGAAAAATCCCATAGCTAAAAGTTGTCTTTTTACTTTGTTAATCATCTTGTCTGCCTCACAGTGTATTGCTGGAGTTATTTAATGGACATGAAATATTAAGCAGGTGGAACTCAGGTCACTAACCTTCTTTCTGGTTGTTTTTGGGTTTCTAGGAGTTGAAAATGTGATAAATTTTGACTTCCCTACAGCTGTTGATGCCTACATTCACAGAGTAGGAAGGTAAAAGTTTCTTTTCATCTCTGGACAAATTCTTTCTCTTTGTGCAGGTCGCCTCCATTTTGGGAGGACCTGACAGGGAGCTGTTCGTTTCAGTCACTAATGGAGAAGCTTGACTAGTTAGTTGGCATTCTCCCACCCCTCCCTGAATTTCCAAATTAGCTCCTGTTAACAATCTTGACGAAGAGTATGGCACACTGACAGTGTATTTGTTTCTTTATGCTTCCTTGTTTTAAGGTACGAAATTACATTTAACCTCCAGGGCCCTAACCACTATCTCTTTACTGCTCTACGCGGTTGGTACGCAAAAAGCAATTAAATTTAAACCGGCAGATACTTTGTTCTGAGTCGCGTAACATTGGGCGTGTCAACGAACCTTCACTCATTTTCTACGACGCCTGTTCAAAGTTAGGCCAATAACAGCAAAATAATGGCGAGTTACAATCAGCTAAATTTACCCCTAGCAACGGTCTGAAATGATAATGGTAAGGGCCCTTAAAAGGCAAAGTAAAATTGAAGTGTCACTGGCAAAGCTTACTGCACTTGAACTTTGTAAAATGTGCTCATTTGACTTGGGAAGAATTGATTTCTGATTTGCTCTATTGATGTAGGAAACATTCGTTGTCTTTTAAACAAGGCGTTATTGTCTCCACTTTGTAGGACGGCCCGTGGTGACAATGACGGTACTGCGTTGTCCTTTGTGACAGCAAATGATTATAAAATGCTGAAAAAGGCCGAAGAGGAACTTACGAAGGAGTTAATAGGTACAAACATCCAGTGTATGCTTGACGTGACGTTAAGACGCGAAGTCTACGTAAGTGACATAATTGAAGACATTGTAATGGTAAAGTAGAGATGTTAATAATTGTTAATAATTTTGGATGTTCTAGGAGAGAAAAAAGAAATTTTTAAACCTTATCAGTTTAAAATGGAGGAGATCGAGGGGTTCAGGTATCGTGCACAGGTAAGTGCAGTTTCTTGTAGCAGGATGCTGCCTTGGTTTAGGAGCCAATTGCAACAGTGTGTTTGGTGACGTAGGAAATGATAACAATTCTGTTAATCCAACTTGTTTTCCAACGCACGATAATCTATAATAGAATTTCAGCTCACTTCTTGGCCATGCAAAGGGCTACCAGCAGGGAGGGTCCTCTGGATCCACATGCGCCTTAAGTAGCTCGATACCGTAATCATCATCTTCGACAAACTTCCGAAGAAGAATGTGTCGCTGTATCATTCCCTTGTCGTTTAAATTGTTTTCTTTCAAATTTTTGTCGCAAAAATTTCATCTTTGCTCTTTTATCCTTATCAGGACGCACTGAGGGCAGTCACAAAATCAGCAGGTTAGTACAGTCGCATGCTTGCAAAATAAACTTTATTAGCAATCATCTCTTTTTTTAGAAATTAATCTCAACTTCGACATTTGTTTGGATGCGAGGATATAGGTGTAATTTTATCATAAGTTAGTTAGGGTACTAGTAGGAACCCAAAAAAA